ATCAAAATAATTCAGGAAAGATTTGGGGTTACTGCTGAGCTGCTCAAAAAGCCATGACGATAACATTGCAAAGACAGGGTAGATCAGAGAGCAAGTACAACTGTAAGAAAGGGGTTAAAAATCTGAATGAAATATTTCCTAAGCCGTCTTTGGATTGGTGTTTTGTGAGTTCTAGTGAGCGATGAAAAAAACCGACAAAACTTTCGGGACAACCTAATATATTTGAAGCATGATCTACGAATGACTCACAGAAGGAACTCCCCACCGACATGTTGTGCACGGGAAACCATTTGCAACAACTTGCACCCACAATATGTCTGCCTGAACGAGGAGTTCAATAACTTTTCGTCGGGGTGCTGCCGTAGCAATATTTCTTTAGAAAAGTGCAGAATTATGATCTATATAATTTTTGGAATCGTGTAGCGAACACATGAACTTTTCTTTGACCAGACTTTCTCATTGAGCTCATTTGATCTCTTGACAATGGCGAAACACATGTAAAAAGCTGATCTCAGCAAATGCAAAGTTGTTGCGGTAAGATCCATAAGATCCATAACTTCAAGGAAGTTCATGGTTTCGATGACAGAGACTAAGGTAAAACGCTGAGAATGGAATCAAAGTAGTAGCTGTCAACTCTTTGTACAAAAATTTCGTGCCCTTTATATATTAAGAGTGTTTGGAAAAGAGAGAATAAATAAAGGAGATGCTTCCATCAGTTATGGAGGATTCAACATTTTATAACAGAAGTGTGAAACTTGGATACTGTAATCGTAAATTCGCGCAAAAAGTCAACATTCCAGGAGATGTTGCTGATGCAAAGTGGGATGCACGCGTGGAATGCGCGCATGCGGGGAGCGGCTCCACCGATTCGGACATGATGAGGGCACGGATGACATGTTTGACAAATCCAAGCTGCTAACCATAACACTCGAAGTATTATTAGCATAACAGAGCTGGGCCGGAAGTGCGCCGCTACCTGGCTGACTGCCAACATGTCGCAGCTGACCAAGTCTTGAGGCTGTTTATCGGCTCCACTACCCCCTATTGGCCATGGTCGTGCACGGGGCGCAATTTTCGCCTTCGCGGATCGACGCAGAAGCAAAAGTTGTTTGGGTCAGTACCACTCGATACTAACCTGCCCTGCCCTCACCTGCTTCAGCAATCACTCGTAGGCGTTGGCCATTCGCGATTGTTATTTCGCACTTTTATTACCGTGCTCTACTTTTCGCTCTTGCTCTGGCTACGCGAGTCCGTCACCATCATCCAACTTTGGCCAGTCTCGCCTGACCTTTCCATACCGTCTAAATTTACAAATCGCAAATTGCTTGTGTCTCCTGTGATTTGGCGCACATACCTCACCGAATCAGCCTGGAATTGAGAGGATGTCTAAATATTATTATTATAGTCTCACAAAAAATACTACGGTCCTGATCCTCAAGCATCACAAGAGTGAAGCGAAATTCCAGCATAGAAAGCAATTTTTTTCACATCGCCAAATGTTTTATGATTTCCACCTGTGCTTCAAATTTTTGTGTTCTACAATTGGCGTAGTGAGCTGCGCCTAAGCATAAATCCAGGGCTATCAACGGGTTCCCTAGTCACAAAACGTTCGTAGAAGTTGTGTTTCTCATAGAACACATGAGCAATGTCTTCGATCATATTGCTGTACTGACGTATTCGTCTTGGATCCTTGCGGTTATCGTAATCTGCCCTGTTCATTGCATTTGTGTATGTTACAGTGATCTAGAGTATCGTTCGCTATTACAATATTGCGTTCTGATCAACCAAGACAGCGCCACAACTTCCATATACTACTTGCGAGAATTTTACTGAATTTTAACATTACCCCATGATTTGCTGTTATCACATCACATCGAGACCACGACTTAGCTGCGACGATGTGAAACATGTCTCCCGCATTCCAAAGACGAAATATTTCCTCCTGGGTCTAGGAAGACGTATTGAGAACAAATAGTTTGAACTTTATGTTCCCTGCGAATCAATATTTCTTTGAAGTAATTTGATGTCTACCTTTATTTCATAGACATCTAATTGACATCTGAAGTTAGACACATATTGCCATAAGAAAAACAGCACCATAGGAAAAATGTCGTGTCATACGTGATTCTAACCATTACAAGGGGGAAGCTATGTGTTTAGTTGGACCTGCAGTGCTTGAAGAATGTCATTTCATTCCGGAGCATCTTTAATTAGATTTTTGCTTTTGCTTCCCTTTGAACTAAGCGAAAGGTGTCATGTCATACATTTATTTCGGAATAATGCAATAAAGGGACATTTTTACGTTATTAGAAGAATTACTACGACACTTTAAGACTCGGCTTACCCATAACGAGTAAGAATCTCTCAGACACACTAAAGACTATCCAGGAGTAAGTGCGCGGAAAGTAACTGAAAGTGCTCTAACTCACAAAAGAAAGACAACGTTGCCATCTGCCTCATATAAGAGTGATGGGCTAATCTCTGAAGTGTTCTCTGAGTTTCGTGGACTCTTAAATGACAGAGTAACTTAGAGACCAATAGAACTCATAGATCTGATGTCTCATTTGCACTTGTATCTCTATCCGACTACTGCAGCATGATTCTAAACAAAGGTCTGTAACTGCTTATCAGGCAAATAAAGCGTTCAAAATCCGACCTCAAAAGCTAGTCAGATTTTTCTGAGTTTATTGTGATAAGCCATCTTATCGTTCACAGGGCTCTTTTGTCTATGCCCTGAGATCAGGTAACTTCTCAGGTTCTGTGTGACCTTCAAATAGGGAAACCAAACCGAGAACTGATCGTGAAGAATTCTTCATGATCATTCAAATTTGTACACGAAGGCGAACAAATAAATGTTTGAGGCAATTTTCGTCATGCTTCATAAGATATCCTATGCACATTCCACTTTACAAGGTTAAATGCAGCATTCCACTTTACAAGGTTGAATGCAGCTATTTCGCGGCAGATTAACATGATTGCATGTTTTCAAGAGGCTTGTATTGGGACTCTTCAAACTTTATGGGAGATTTTTCTGAATATGATTGTGTAGAGCCTGTAATTACGGGAAACTGCTTTTGTGCTCCTACTCAGACAGTCTTTTCAGAGCACATGTAAGACTAACTGTACTACCCTAAAGACATTTGCTTCTGAAAGATTCATAATCGCCAATATTTTGAGATGATCTATAAACTGACTGAAGTCGAACAGCAAATTCGGAATGCGCGTTACAGAAAAAAAACCTACTCTACGGACATTTTGATCATGAGACCTTCTTCGAAAACGTTACATATTGCAAAAATAGTTAAACTAAACGAAATAGTTAAACGAAAAACGTTTGGGAACTTAATGTGTCACTTTCTATTCCCAGATTTTCACAATGAGTGTAGATCTGAACCACGAACTTTAGCGCCTGCTTGGTGCAGCTCCACTTCAGAAATCTGCTATCACGCAAAAATTGCGTTCGAACTCGTGCAATTTTTCTGACCTGTGCTACTAGCATTTTCTTGGCTTTTCTTCTGTAATAATGGCTGCTAATTTTTTTCGTAGATTTGGCCGATATTGTAGGTTTTTTGGAGAAAATTACAAATTCCTCAAACCAGCGTTTTTTCGTAAGCTGAAGTACGTCCAGCACTGACATCATCCACCCGCTCTTTAGGCCTTGATCTCTGTCTCGTGCTCCCAGCTATAGTGGACACCTCAGTAGGCTCCACTGAGCATTACAAAGAAACTCTCACAGCCCGAGGGCAATTTTATGCCTACTAGTGTTGACCAATAACGGCCCAAACACATGTCCATTGTGGCTCGCCGAACTTTCACTTTGTTTCGATTCGTTGTTTTTGGCCAGGTAATTTGGAGTTTCTAGCCTTCTATAGCTTACCATTGCACGGCCCCACGCTACATAAAAAACAGAATAGGTTTTGGCCTGTTTTTCCTTTGATGTATTCTAGAAGAATGCTTCCCTTGCTCAAGGGGGTGAGTCATGTTCAGCTCTTACATTTTTTCTTTAAGAATGAAGTTCATTTGGCAGCATTGTGAGGACTTCGTGGAACCAGAAAGTAAAGTGGGCTATGGGTTGCGCTGGCAGTAGCAATGGCAGGTCTAAGTGCAATCACGGAGAAAATTGTAGGAAACGGGCGACCAAACGTTCCGCGCTCCACATTACAAGGCCCGGCTGAGTCCGCTCTCAGAAGCAACAAGCAAATTGAGAATTGAAACTTCCTTGGCATTGCTATAAGGGCTATTCGATATGGACAATTCTATGCTTAGTGCTAGACTTGCAAGCAAATCTGCTAGTCTGAAGGTACCCACTAATCGCCAGTCTGCCGGAGAAAAACGTGCTTAAGTACTGCTTCCACAATGCCATTTCGCAGCAAAAAAATTGCTCAGCATGACTCACCACTTGTGTACAAAATCACTTTGGTTACCTTACAATCCGACTCCATGATTTTTGCCAATATTTCGCGTGTTCTCCACGGTCAACGCCTCATTTCTTTTTTGCTCATGTTCACTTCCCGTGACTTGCCATAAGTTCTCGGCCATAAGCTGGCCATGAAAATTTTGAAACCTGTAATTTCCATTTTGCTTTTTTCTGTTAATGGACCTCGCTTTGAAGGAAATGGGATGCAGGTGGACGAGGGCGGTTTAGAAGTGGAGCTGCTGCCGTAACTTGAGCAAGCTGCCGCTTATTTCCTGTTTTTCGTTGAACTTATCCGAATGTGATCGTTCTGCCTATGATGGTTTACTTCGCAGAGAAGACAATTGTATTGATCTGTTTACCAAGGTTCATGGTTCGGAAAAAGTGTAATCTAGCCATGGAAAATTGCTTTCTATGCCTTTCTCAGTTCAGCAAATGTCCACTTTGGATCTTGTGATGCCATTTGGCTTATCTCTTCTTGCTCTCTGTTGTAGAAGTTGCGTGAAAAGTTTGAGAATACCGTTTGTGTACAATATTTTCTGTCTAGTTTCTACTTTTACAGTGTCTCACATGCAATTCTGATGTTGTGGCGCGGACTTGGTTCATGGCTCCATGCTGATTGTCCTGCTAGCTCTGCGCTTAGCATACGCTCAGTACACTAGCTATAATGGTAAGTTTGGTACTCGCCTTTTCGTTGGAATGGTGCTCGCCTTCTCGATGGAACACGTATTTCCTGCTTTCTTTTTTCATCTTTATTTCAAGTCATTTTTTTTATAAAATAACCTTGATCTTTAGCTCTCTGCCTTTATGTGGTCGATCTCTCAGACTTCTCCCAACTTTTAGTTTTTCTTTCCTAATTTGTCATTTATACTATTGTCATGGATATTCGTCTCAATGTGCAGTGATGTACTTAGTGCTTTAAACGAATTGCGAAATTCGATATGCATATACTTTCCAAATCACTATGATAGGGGACCGTACTTTATAGAAGTCTTATACTCGAAACTTTTCTTTTTCATAAAAAGGATAAGGAGAGATCTATCTGCTTAATATTGAACAGTGATTGCAATTAAATCTTATAGTAATCTTCTCTACGAACCTGTAATAAGTCTAGTTTAAGTTGGAGTCAATAGAGCTTTTATTCCTATTTCTTTTACTACTATTGATGAGATGCAGCAAAGTTTCGCTCCTTGAATCGTCCTCTTTATGAATCTCTCCACAAAGCTTCATCGCACGTCCTTTTCATTTATCTGACAAAGCGTACCCATGTAAGAATACTTGGAAGTATTTAAGACATAAACAGCGACAGATGTGACCATTCTGTTACTAAAGAGGGGACCACAAAAAATGGTAATACCAAGAGCAGTGAGGATGTGAGAAGAAAATTTTGTGCAAATAGAGTCAGCGGCGATCTAGATAAACTTACGAGAAAGGGTTGGTCCCCATCAAATTATCTCAGTTCAAAATGGCTCTTGAAAACTATCTTGTTTCGCCATAGTTTCTTCATCGACAGCTCGTCATTTCCAATTTGTAGTGTTAACTTGTTGCGTTGGGTTATATGCGTAAGAATTTCCTACGCAAAAGATACTAATAAAGTTATAGACCATGAACATGTGCTTGGTCTAATAGGTAAAGGTTGGGGGGGGGGGGGGGGAGAGGGGGGCTGTAGGGGCTTTATAGGGTAGTTGTTACATGAAGCATGACCTGGTGTTTTGACCAAGAGCTTGCTACCGCAGCTTACTTTCTAGCTTCAATTCCTCTTGTATCACATTCTCAGAAGCTTTGATACGTTTTTGCTAAGAAATGGGAACCTACCAGCGAACTGCCCTTGGAACTCTTTGTTTAACATGACTGCCATTATGGCTATTGCTTCTTCACGGGCTCAAAAGGTTGATTGACTTATCCTATCGATGCAAGCGGCGTGAATAATTTCCGAGTTTTCTTTTCTGGTTCATTTGTCCATTAGGAAGCCCATTTTAAAAATTTCCACTTGACATCCCACGCGTCCTTTTTCTGTATGAAGCCTAGGCTGGCGACGGATTGCGCGTAGGAAGTCGCCAATCAAAGACACATTTCAGCTCGAGATATGAGCGCGAGCAGCGCACACGCATGATTTGCAGGTCCAAGAGCAGTCAAAATCAGTGCAGGTGATGGCATCAGGTTCCTGATTATGACATAAGAAATCAGAAGAAATTTCAAAAATTCACTGAAAACTGTTTATTGCATCATATTGTCATAGCATTTTACAGCGGTGGCTGGTCGACTACCGGGACGTTGTATGCCAGGCGATTTCGATTGTGGATTTGGCCGTTGTGTACCCATCACGGTATTCCACGACGGCAAACCCGACTGCCACGACGGCAGTGACGAATGTGCGCTTTCACCTAATGTTCAAGCAGCATTTCAGTATCCTTCCAGGGTGCTTCTTCGGTCAGGTCAAGTGTGGTGCCTACTGCATTGATATGTCGCAAGCGCTCGGCTGCATATTTTCACCGAAATGCGACGATTCCAATCGACAACCGCAGTGGTGTGCGGTATCGAGTGAGTTGCCTCTATGGTTCACTGAGCTTTCCAGAAATTCGATACTTGCAAGGAAGTGTCCATTTCAAGCATTGGTGGGGGGGGGGTCGCAGTACTGAAATGTTTAGCAGTTCTGTTGAATAAAGAAATTTTTACAGCCTTCTTCACCCTCAATTAGACATAACTATGAAAGGATTGCGCGATAGGGTCAGCTTTTAATTGTTCATTACCTGTAACACGTAAGTCATCAAGTGATCTGCTCAAACATTCTTTGCTTGCACTCCCTCAATTTTCATCCAAATCGTAGTTTTTCGGTCATGTGGAAGTCCGGAAACGCTTTTTTGAATTATGACTTTCCCTATTTTGAAGTTTTTGTGCTGGTCAAACGTGTGTGCTGACCACACGGCAGGCACGGGTTATTTCGGAAAAGGAAAAAATGAGCAGTTTTTGTTTGTGCGTCAGCGTGGTCATTGCGAGACAGACATGCCTCCAGTCTTTGCTAGAGGAATGCAAAGGTTTAGCACCGCGAATGGGCACTGAAGATGCTAGTGAGAATTGCAAAATGGATTACATCTTTTGAGGGGTGAATAGATTTCTGGTAGATCTCACTATGATGTGTAGATTTATGTCTTTGAATAGCAGCAGGATAAAAACGCAGAAAAATTCCGTTTGATTGATTGTGTATGGTGTGCTATATTTCAACACAACTTGTTTAAGAGGAGAAACTTTGCGGCAATCCGGGTTCTTTTCCTTGCAAAGGATACGGGGAGTGCGTGCTGTGGCAGTGGTTGCTGGATGGCAAGAAACATTGCATCGACGGAAGCGACGAGGGTATCTTTAACATTTATTGAGATTCTGGCTTTTTTGAACCAGGGCTTGGCACGAGCTGGCACTACGAAGTTATTGAAATAAAGCCTCTCCCCTTGATTACGCAAGATTTTTACGAACTCTCCTTTGACGTTTCTTTTCTCTTGTTAATCCAAAACCCATTGTTACTATTTACATGTTTTATTAAACAGTTCAGTGACTTTCGGAAACCAGTCTTATGTGAATCTGTGCTTTGACTCTCGTAGATTTCTTGTACCACTTTTCCATTCCTGATAGAAGGCTTGGCTTCGTCTCTCACTGGCCTCTCGTTCCCTTCATTCCACCCTCTCTCCTCCCACCCTCCACCTCCCTCCTCTTCCCCTCCCAATCCACCTCCCCCTTCCCCACTTCACTCCTAGCTTCTCTGCAGCTGATGACAGAGCTAAGGAATAACAAAAACAATGATCCAGCCTTCCAATAGTTGCATCTAGTGGAATACATTCCGTGTAAAAATAACTTGGTAGAGCTGGTAGTGAAAGGGAAAATGGGAGTTGAGAATAATAGACGAGTAATGGACGAAGAGACGAACAGATGAGGTGAGTGAGCATCGAACAACGAGTAATTATGTACAAATCCGGCATTCGCGCGTTGATTCGCATTTGGGCGTGCTTTGCGATCCGAGCAGGGTTGCGCCGCTGCTGCAAATTTACCAAGAGCTAAAAAAAGCGTAAAAGAAGAAGTATGAAATGGATTTGAGCTAATAAGAAGCGTTCAATAAAAAGATACTGTCCTTGAAGAAAGTAATGGAAACTCATGCGAGCAAAGGGTCAGGTCCAGCAGTTGCAATCCAGCTGGAACGGTGCTAGTTTGGGAATAAGTTTGCCAAGGCTTTCATTCATATTCGGTTCAAAAAATTTTTTTCGGACGTATTCTGAGGTTGTTCATGCACATTTGTAGACCGATTTATGGACATTCAGATTCCCGCGCTGTATTAGAGCATGTTTGCGGGAGCAAGTCTTCTAATTTGTTCAAACTGGTATGATGCCTGGAACGGCGATCTGCAACACAGACTTGATGCGGTTGCTATTTCTGTTTTTCCGATGCTCTGGCCCACACCCTGAAAACCGGTTTTCCCTTTGCCTCCCCTCAGAACGACGCCCAGCTTGACCGCGTGCTATCTGTGCCAGGCCCTGGTGCAAATCTTGCAATTGACCTTAAAATCTAGGAAGTGTTTCAGATCAGAACTATGTCAGAACACTGGAAGGATCGTATCGATGTTACTACAACAGAACGAAGGAAGTTGAAATGCCTCCGGCTCTCAATTATTCCGCAGCATTTTTGAAGAACACCAATGCTGGACTACCTGGTTTTTCACCTCAGTTTCCTACATTATTTCCTCCTATGCCCTCACATACTGTTGCTCCTGCTTTCACTCATCCTGCGCCTGTCAATCCTACACCTCCAGCTCACCTTTCGCGTATTACTGGTCTACCACCACTGCCTCCGCCTTACCCTACACTGCTCCCACAACCTACGCCATTCAATTCTAATTTTCTGTCCACTTCAACGCAAGCGCCAGTAGCAATCACAAATGCGATTTCTGGTGATCACACAACCCCCAGCAACTCGTTTTCATCTTCGGATCTTCCGACTTCTACCTCCTCCACTCCTGAAAACCAGCTCGTTACCACTTCTTCTTCATCTGCTCAAGAAACACAGCCCAAATCTTCTGCCACCCCTAAGCCTGAGGTTACGACAACACCGGGCACAGGAGAGAGTAAGACCACGAGAAGACGGGGTTCCGTCGGCCATATCAGGGGTCGCGCCACCACTACCATGATGCCAGGCAAGGTAGTGACCCACATAACCGTCACGGTTGTGGACACTAGAGAGTCCAGCAGAGGACGACAGCCCGACGATCTCCACGGCGAAGTCCCACCAGATGAATCTCAGGAGACCAAAGAAGAGCATGAACCTGATGCAACTAATGAAGAGAAAGGAAATCAGGGTAGCTCATCCAGCAGAGAGATTACAACCAAGGTTAAAGAGGAAAGCGAAGCTTCAAGTCCCGATATTGTGATTAGAACAGATGAAGGAGATCACGGTCAACCATCCATTACTCATATAGATCTCAGTTCCAGTGGAGGCACGCCGTTGGTAATCACTCATGTATCAAGTTCAAAAACATCACCATCTTTTCCAACCGACCAAGGGCAGGATATCAGTGACGGGACCACGAAAACTACGGCGCCGAATGTTCCAATTCCCGTAGTAGTTCCAATACAAACAGCCGGAAGAGCTGGCGAGGATATGTCGGAAGCCGAAACGCTTGACGTCAACACGATGAGTGGAATGGGAACCAGAGAGCGGTGTTTGTTCCAAGTAGTCAACAGTGCCAAAGAGAAGTACGCCAGATACGAGTGTCAGTGTGCTGTTGGCGAAATGGAAGTTAATGGAGTCTGTGAAGGTCAGCTGTGATAATAAAGATTTGCACTACATCGCTCAAAAACCAGCGGTTCTCAACAAAGTTGTATGATTGATTGAACAATATTCAAACATTATATTTAGGTCATGAAAAAGATCTAGCTTTCTTCAAACTGGATGTACAGTCTGCATGTAAAGTCACACAGCTAACGTACGACCAGAGGAAATGGGTAGCGATCGCCAAGGTAAAACATCTAAATGAATCTAACATCTACAAACTTGTCCCAAACATTTCTTACTCAACATTTTTCATCGCACAAAATTTAATTCTAGCTCGCTGAATCGCTGGATCTTCCAGCTTGTGTGAGGATGGCTTCCAACGGTGATGCTTATGTGAACGCAATTTGTGGAACAGGATGTCATCTGCAGAACATTCAAAAACTCTTAAAACACTTTACCGGCGACCCCAAAAAAGTATTCGTTGACGGTGAGTGTAAGCTGACCCTGAGAGCACTGAGCTTGGCTGAGCCGCAGACGTTGTCTTCCTTACGCAAGAGGGCGCTAAATACAGTCTCTGTTTACATACCAAGCACTAAGTGGATCTGTTGCAAGCGCTTTTTCTGGCCTTATAAAACTGTACATCGAAAACGACTGAACAGTGAAGCAATTATACAGCGTCAGCGGTCAAGTAGTGCGAGCAGAATAGAGCTTGAAGAAGCTTCAGATTTTGGTAGCGTCAACCTCCACATGACTACAGAAGCTTCAATACCTAGAGAGGAAGGTTTTGATAGCGTCTTGAGATACATTGGCTGTTACAATGTCACAGTAAAAATGGCTGGATTTCAATTGCTATCTTGTCAACCAGAGGTGCGATGGGGGGAGCCGGGCCCACCAAAAGTGAAGGTGGTCCCAGCTTCCACTGGCCGGCCAAAAGTGAAGATGGTAGTGCCGGACACTCACCTTTCAAAAACGTCGACCGGGGGGGGGGGGGAGCGTTGACGTCGATTGATTCTATCCTTCCAAGTCGTTGCCGCCGGTGCGCGGAAAATAAGCAAAACAAATGCAAAAGAGACATTCAAAGCATATTTTTATGTATACAACGGCATGAATATCTAAAATAAACGTGTTTAGAAAATAGTGTGTTTTGAAGTGAAACTCAGCGAGAATTTATAGATTTTAATGAGTAAATTTTCTTATGACGTACTGCGAAGTTGTTTGGTCGATCCAGGCAGTAACCGCCGAGACCCAGAATTTCGAATGATAAAATAATGAAAAATCGTGAAAAATCATTCCACTGTTACAAATCTGCTGGCTGAAGACCTCCGCAGTTGCGACTTCATAGGTTTTAAAGGGTAAGTGTTGTTCTACCAGACAGTGAAAGAATCAGTTTGATTTGAGGAGAGGCCGCCGAGAACGAGAATTTTGAAAAACCTTAAAAATCTTCTCAATTTTATGTTGCTTAATGACAACTGACATTTAAACTCTTATAAATCCGGACTTTGAAGGTGTGCGATGTTGCGACTTTATAGATTTTGTAGGGTGAGGTTTGCCCTATCAGAATATGTCTTAGCTGTACCGATCCATTGAAACATCGCCGAGATCCAGGCTCTTAAAAAAGCAGGTAAAAAACCGTTTTTCAGCTCATAACTTCTTCAGAATTGCATAATGCATGTTACGACTTCATAGGTTGGATTCTCCTCATCAAGAGCTTTCAAATGATGTATAATATGTGGGGGATTCAATGTTTCTTGCTGCTCTAACCCGGGGTGGAGTACTCCTCTTCATTAATTCTCCACCCCGCCCATTTCAATGTATTGGCGGGAGGCCGCCAGTGGAGAATTAGTGAAGAGAGGTACTCCACCCCCGGGCATATGCCGTGGGAGGCGTGAATCCCCCACATATTATATATCATTTGAAAGCTCTTGATGAGGAGAATTCAACCTATGAAGTCGCAACATGAATTATGCAATTCTGAAGAAGTTATGAGCTGAAAAACGGTTTTTTACCTGCTTTTTTAAGAGCCTGGATCTCGGCGATGTTTCAATGGATCGATACAGCTAAGACATATTTTGATAGGGCAAACCTCACCCTACAAAACCTATAAAGTCGCAACATCGCACACCTTCAAAGTCCGGATTTATAAGAGTTTAAATGTCAGTTGTCATTAAGCAACATAAAATTGAGAAGATTTTTGAGGTTTTTCAAAATTCTCGTTCTCGGCGGTTACTGCTTGGATCGACCTACCACATAGATATATGCTCTTAATACTTTCTTTTACATTCCTTTTGCTTATTTTCCTTCTTTTGAGCTTTAGCAAAAAAAATTTTTAGACGCAAAAGTAAAGGTGGTCAGCCTGTACCAGCTCAAAAGTGAAGGTAGGCGGTGAATCGGCTCCGGCTATCGCACCTCTGTTGTCAACCTGGACTCCCATTGTATAGGGGCCTGCAGGATCGCGAGAGTCGGACGTGCATACGGCCATTGCGCCGCGCACGTCAGATGCACGTCCGACGACTCAGGTAGGTGCCAAACCTTTCTTGTTCAACAGGTTCTTCAGTCCACCACCTTTTCTTTTGGACAGTTTAGTGATTTGACCTATGAACCGAACGAATCGGTTGAAGTGGATAAGTCTGGCACCTGCTTTAGTGACATCAGACGTGCGCGGCGCAATGTCCGTACGCACGTCTGACTCTTGCGATCTTGCAGGCCCCTATAGACATAGTTCCAAAAAATACAAATCCCGTTTTCTCTTTTGCCTTATGCCTTCCTAACAAAATCGCCAATCCTTGCAGAAGCTGCTGCATGTCAGGACAGCTCTTCGAACTATTGTCACAGGTATGCCGAATGCCTAATGAACGATGTTCGAATGAGTTGTCAGTGTCGTGTTGGCACTAACGACACATCTGGTGGACTTGGGAAGATGTGTGTAGGAGTTCCAACGGATAATGAGTAAGTCGACTTTTGCGCACTCCCTTTATCTTGAAATTACGAATTTAGATGCATAATGATTTATGGAGTGTGCCTTATCGTTTATCTGATTATTCTACTTGGTATCTTGTTACTTATTCCTCTACTGATACTTCTTCTATCGCGATGTTGCGTTGGCAGGCATAGTAAAAGAAAGAGTATCAATCCAAGAGCTGCGGAGGAAGAGCTCGCTGCGGTTGGTGATTATACTTAGAAGACCATTTTCTCTTCCTTGTATCTCGGAACGGTCTAAATTAACTGTAAAATGCATTTTTGGTGCGGTGTTCTTACAAAGGAAGGATACTTGGTGATGTGGCCTTTTGCAATGTGATCTATTAGGTCGTTACATAAGTTCGTAGCGTTTTCATTTTCGTCCTCATCTTTGAAGAGCGGTTGATTTGCGGAAGAATTCGTATATCATTTGGAAGGGCTGATTGTGCTCTCTGAAATGCGGCTACTGATTTCGGTGGAAAGCTGACTCACTCGGGTCTCGCAGCTTCCGAAGATGGAAATCTTTAATGGCAAAAAGGAGCAACTGCGGCATTTGCGCATTCTTCCTTATGAAAAGAAGGGCTTTTGCACAGATTTTTGTGTCGATTACGAATATAGCGCTCACGCATCAATATGAGACATAAAAGGATTGGATTGCTACAAAAGATCAGGGGCTGAGCAGGGTGTCCCTGAACAAGACTTTTTGGGAGACGGGCAGGACGTCCTGCACTGAAAATTGCTGTACAGGTAGGCTATGGTCAACCATACCGTAAGCAATCCAATTGCACCGTCTAAACCAGATCTTACCGCAGAAAAAGCCTAACAGACAGATCCAGCGAGTTTTTCTGCAATACAAAACAGGGCCTCATATGGCAAACGTCGTCAAAACTGTCTTGCACGATTTGACTGGAAGGTACTTTAGTACCCAAACTACTCTTCAAATCACGCTCTATTAGATTATTATTTGTTCCACTCTCTAGCAAACCTTATGAATGGTGCATGTCTCGATTTCAGTAAGTAGTTTGAGCGCTGGCTAGATGACTTTCTTGCACCCGGCGCGCTGCTGTTTGAGAAATTGAGGTTGAGAAGCTAACAAGAATGTGCCAAATGGTCATGCGCTACGACGAGGAATATAATTTTGGTTGATTTTTAAGGTAAATTGATGGTTTTATTGGTTTACTAGTTGACTTACCCGGCTCCGCCCGGCCCTGTCAATATTATATTCGTAATCAGCATGCTCGATTACCCCCTGTCCCAACTCCCATCCCCGTAGCTCAAATTTTGCAAAAAAAATCGATAAATCGATATCGATCGATGACGAAAAGTGGCCTGTGACACTCGCCGGGGCCCGATGTGTATGTGTGCCAAGTTTGGTCCGGATCGGTTCAGAAATGGAATTTTCTATTCGGAACATACGTACAGACAGACAGACAGACAGACAAACAGACATTCAGCTTTATATATTAGGTCGTTCCGAAAGTTTTTTCCGTTATTCTAACCTATCATAAAAACACGTGGAATGAAGGTAGGGAAACGCCTTAGGCACTATCCGACGCAGCGTTCCTTCCTCTTTCTAGCAGTCATATTCCCATGTCGCTTACTCTTGTGGTCACTGAGATAATTGCCGAAACTTTGAACACATGGTTTTTACCATGTCCGAATTTGGCAATTTTTCACAATCTTCGTTTTTAACTTCCCGAGAAGCTTTGATAGCAGTCAAATAGAGTAAACAAAGTGCAATGCAATACATTTTTTTGGCAAATCCAGCTGGCTTTTCAGTATTTTTTGAGATAATTTTTCCAAAAGTCTTCACTTTTGCAAAGTCCCAAGATACATAAACGCCCCGAACACTGGCAATTACGGATTTCGAAGCTTTTTAAAGTCAGTTACGATTATCCACAATTTTTACCAAGCAATTGAGCGTTTACCGCTTGTAAATATAAGGTTTCGCATTTTACGTGTACAGGCTGGGGCGGGTTCAAAATCAAGAATTATGGGAACTTTATCGCCAAAGACCCCGCAAATTGGAAAGAAAATACATTCACTAGAAAGAGAAGGAAAAGCTGCATCGAGACACCTTAGTTGTGCGCCGTCTTATGTTCAATGGCTCTTGACGTCCCCAAAATTGGAATTTGATAGCATCAGAAAAATAACTCTAAGAAAATTTTAAGACTAGCTATGAACGGCGAAAAATTGCATTGAATTGCACTTTGTTTGCTCTATCTGACTGCTATCAAAGCTTTCGTAAAAGTCAAAAAAGAAGATTATGAAAAATTGCCAAATTTGGATATGGTAAAAACCATGGGTGCGAAATTTCGACCATTATCTCACTGCCCACAAGAGCAAGCAGCACACGAATACGACAGTTGAAAAGAGGAAGAAAAGCTGCGTCAGATAGTGCCTAAAGCGTTCCTTTATCTTCATCCCACGTGTTTTTATGATAGGTTAGAAAAACGGAAAGAACTTTCGGAACGACCTAATATAAGATAAAAGCGCTACGAACTTATGGAACGACCTAATATATCGTTAAATGCGCCCTGTAACGCTGATTCCATATTTATGTTCATTTCTGCTGTGCGATTCTCTGAACAAAGTTATGAACTTTCTTTCCAAATTATTTCACAAGATCTAGGCGGTCAGAATTGTCAGTATTCAGGCTTTACTCGAAGATATGGAAGATATTTTCTGAACTTAACGCAAAACTTTGTTACATTTGGAGGCTCTTTCTTAATGCGTAAGTTACCATTCCAACGATATTGGTGAATCCTGTTATTAACACGTTTCGGACCGCGAAATCGCGCGCGGCAAAAAAGAGGGTACTTTCAGCCGTTAGCCAGCAAAGGGACCTTAATTCGTAGAATGTGTGCTACGACTATTATCAGCATGTCAGATAAGATCCATACCCAGAGTTCGGAGTGAATTCGAAGTGTTTGAATTTTGTCGTCTGAAAAGTAGTTCTGTGCTTTCTTAAAAGATAGGAACAAGAACTCAGTTTCTAATTGTATCCAAAAGTATCTATGTTGTACACGATACACATCATTACTGAAACTACGGTTTTTCTCTTTGTATTCAAAGCTAAGCAAAGTTGCGACGTCGCACGCGTCGTTCGCGTTGCCGCACTTCGTTGCAACTGATGTTCGATTTGTCCTTATATCTCCTGAACAAATACCGATGGCACAGCTCTACAGACCCTTTCGAGAAGTAGGAGCTTAGGGGTTTGACTTGATGACCTTGGACAAAAAGAGAACCTCCTGTAAACGCTGAAAAGATCCTTCAAAGGTGCGTGCTGCACCATGTGCAGCACCGGTCCGAAACGTGTTAAAACAGTGCAAATTTTGATGGGACGAAATATTCATAACTTCTTTCGGAAGAGCGCACAGCAGAAACCGAAGGCAGATTTGGAATCAGCGTTTTAAGATGCATTTGATGATGTACTTGCACCCCAAAAGGCCACGGTTACCAAGTACCCTTCCCTTGTTAGTCAATTGTGAACTTTCTTCCATGAGAAGACTATGTGCACAAGGTTGCACCCATCTTCACCTTATAATACTTCACTATCGAAAAGCAGCGAATGTCGTTACCCTTCAAAGCTTTACGTAACAAACACTGACTCCTCATTTTGTTTTTTCGAAAATGGACCAGAGTGATGGCGATACTCACAAGGATGCGGCTGATATCTCCGTGATTTTGTGAAAATATATCTGCAAAAACCAAAAAAGTCCTTGCTTTTGAAAAGCAGTTTTACACAGCTGTCAGACTACTGGCGAAGAAAACCAACAAAACGTCCGTATGGAAGATCTCATTCGTGCTTTTCATACAAGTTTTGAATCCAGTTCTGTTTTTACTTTCTACTGCCCACAAGTGCACTTATTCAAGGGAAAAACAAAGCGCTCAAAGAAGAAGGGGAAGAAAGGTGAAGATGACTACCAGCATATCCATGCTATCATGCAATCAGCGAATGCTGGCAAGGCAGGAAGTTAGTCATAGTTTTCTCGAATGAGATACTGTCACTTTATTTTCAGAAGATATGGCAAGGTTAGCCCTATCCGACCGTTACAAAAAGAAGAGCAAGGAAGTCGCAGAAAAAAGTAACAATGTAGTTAAAGTCGAGGATGCTCACCCGGTGAGATGGCAAGATCAGCATGTCTGGATCACTTACTACTGCTTTACTTAGAGAGTGCTCTTGCAGGAAACTTCTACGACAGCCATCAGCCAGCCCAACAGCGTTCCACAAGCTGTGAATGTCGTGAATGGAGCGAATGTCGCAGTGAATGAGGTCACCGCAATTCCTGGAACAGTGCCAGCGCCGGTAGCCTACGGCGAGACGCCTATTCTGGACCACGTAGGAACAAATTATTTTTGCGTTACTAGCTCTTCATGAAATTTTGTCAAGGTCCCTGCGCCTTCTCTCCCAGACCAGCAGCCGGTCAGTCAGGTGGCAGCTGTCACACCGGAACAACCTGTCGTACCCGGTCAGAATCCACTGGCGCATAAGACCGCATCTCACCAGTCTCTTACCGTGACTGAGCCACCGAAGGTAGGTCGTAAAATAGTAATCAGCCTCATAAAGAATGACTGAGGTATAAGGTCTTCTTTTCAGCCAGCTATTCCACCTTCTGCCTTCAGTGCTCCCACTGTAGGCAACGTCGTCTCTATCCCGGCAGAAGTTTCAACGCCCAGACCGGTCGCCCCGCCGCTTTCGACACCCTACGCGACGCCACCTCATGTAACTCCGCCACATGCACCATCTCCTAGTGGTTCTCTTCCTGTTTCCTCATCTGCTACTCCTCTTCCTGCGGGTGCTACATCTCCTCATCCTGCGGGTGGAACTTCCCCTCATCCTGCGGGTGCTGCTTCCCCTCATCCTGCGGGCGATGTAGTGCAACCTCTACCTCATCCAGCACATCCAGTACCTTCTTTCCCTGTCGCCGTCGAAGTGCATCGCAGCAATGACCCGAACGGGGTAAGGCATGAAAGAGGCGAAAAGATGTTAAAGATTCTAATCTTATAGAAGATCCGAATTTAGAAGAAACTTCCACGAACTGTTTCAACTCAATCTGTCGGTGTTCAGCCAACGATATGGGAATCTTATAAAGCTCTTGGAGACGTTTACTCCAAGCAGGACAACCTAGGTAAGTTGATTTGACTCGTCAATGATAGACTAACGCGCAACTACACGATCTCACCTAAGAATACGTGAGCAGCTTGAAGAAGGTTTTCGTAAGATTACTTCACGTGTTTGTTGTTCACTTTGATTTTGTTAGAAAACTTATAACTTTACATATAATGGAGATCTCAAACTTGATTGTGAAAAATCTTTGGAGAAGATTCGCTGCATTTTGATTAGAAGAACAAAAGATCGTAAGGTTATTTGATTCGTTGCTAAAGACTGTTTTTTTTCAATGGATGATAACAGCTCAATTTTGATCTAATTGAGGCGGTTGAGCTTGCCAATTGTCACCACATAGCATTTCCGTTTTCAAGGTGGTTACTCACATGTGAGTACATCAATGTTATTTAGGATGTACGCTTGGAAGTCGGAATGTTCAGATAACTCATAATAAACTACCGACGACAATACATTGATTCTTTTGGGCCCATATGCACATAGATCCCCGCGGGGAGGGGAGGGGTTCTGAAAGGGACGCGTCATATCTCGTTGCTCTAAGAACCGGATGCATTAGCATCCCAGAGGAGGGGATCGCATCTCAACAAAAAGCTTTTTATCCTAAAGCTCCGAACTTCTGAATTTCACACTGTCTACCTATTCGTAAGTATGCCTTCCACCCTTCACTATATACTGAACAGGAGCGAGAAGCTGTCCAAGCCGCGTTTTCTAGCTTTTTGTATGATCCCCATAATCCCCGTCTTTTCTTCGAAAACGAAAACCTATCAAAGTTGTAGTGTGCGTCTTATCCAACAGTGCTAAGCATGATTAGAACAACTGAGCTTTTGAAATATCGAGATTTTCGATAAACCCCAACTTTCGACGTGTGGTTCATCGCAAATTTCATGATTCCAAAACATCATTTGTTCTTATAAGCAATATGGTTGGCACTATTGGGATAGATGATGGTACAACTCTGAAATGTTTTCGTTGACTTCGAAGAAAGAAAAATGAATTCAAAGAAAAGACGGTCGGCTACTGGGGATCATTAGGGGATCACACAAAAAGCTGAAATATGCGGCATGTACAGCTTCCCGCTCCTGTTCAATATGCGCATAGTGAAGAATGGTGGGAATATACGGAGATACGGAGAGGTAGACAACGTGAATCTGGATATCTGGAGCTGCAGGATATGAAGCTTTCTCATAAGCAGCGATTCCCTCCCCGACGGGGATATTAACACGTTGACGACCTTGTGTATCCGCACGTATGCACGCCCTGACTCCCGTTTAGCATTTTCGTGCATCCGCGCATATGCACGCTAGTTTTTTAGGTGCAAGCGAAAAGTTTTAAGGTAACTTCTATGCAGTAATACTATTAGTGGCCTGATTGTCTTACAGAACACAGGGCTTCGCGGCAGCTGTTCAGAAGTTTTGGCCTCAAAATTGGGTAATCAGTACGTTTTTGATGTAGTCAATACATGCTAATTACGTTTTCTCGAGAAGGTGAAAACTCTGTATAGCTGTTCTGAAATCAAACAAAGATGAATCAGGCAAAAACATCTGGTTTTACAACGCTTTTCTCGAAGAGCGATTCCTCAGATATAGCCATTGCATGGATTTTTGGAGGGAAAATCGATGCAAAAACCTTGATTTGTGTGAGTCCTGGTAAGGCTCTGTAATATACTTGTATGTCTGAACAACGTTTGCATGTTTTATTAATAAGTGTCAAAAAGACTCCCACATAATGTTTTCGTGCATCCGCGCGTATGCACGGGCCAAATGCGCGAAGGACGTTCGTGGGAGTTTCGCCCAAAATGGCGCGGTCGTCAACGTGTTAATGCAAGCGGCCCTTAACACGTTGACGACCTTGTGTATCCGCACGTATGCACGCCCTGACTCCCGTTTAGCATTTTCGTGCATCCGCGCATATGCACGCTAGTTTTTTAGGTGCAAGCGAAAAGTTTTAAGGTAACTTCTATGCAGTAATACTATTAGTGGCCTGATTGTCTTACAGAACACAGGGCTTCGCGGCAGCTGTTCAGAAGTTTTGGCCTCAAAATTGGGTAATCAGTACGTTTTTGATGTAGTCAATACATGCTAATTACGTTTTCTCGAGAAGGTGAAAACTCTGTATAGCTGTTCTGAAATCAAACAAAGATGAATCAGGCAAAAACATCTGGTTTTACAACGCTTTTCTCGAAGAGCGATTCCTCAGATATAGCCATTGCATGGATTTTTGGAGGGAAAATCGATGCAAAAACCTTGATTTGTGTGAGTCCTGGTAAGGCTCTGTAATATACTTGTATGTCTGAACAACGTTTGCATGTTTTATTAATAAGTGTCAAAAAGACTCCCACATAATGTTTTCGTGCATCCGCGCGTATGCACGGGCCAAATGCTCGAAGGACGTTAGTGGGAGTTTCGCCCAAAATGGCGCGGTCGTCAACGTGTTAAAGGCAGTGTCCCGGCAGATTCGTGCTCTGGGGGATATTGCTATGGCGGGGTTCCTGATCAACCCACTAACCTACAGCCGCAGTCCGGCTGGATGATGTTCACCCTGCCGAGAATCGGGCCGAGAATCGTCGTTTTCCCGAGATAGATGGGGCGTGTCGCTGCACAAGTCCGCAAGTGTTCGTAGTTGATACGGTATTAGCCGCGGCGCATGATCGATAGCGCCGAACAGCTGACCGATGCTGCCGCGCTAGGGGGTTTTCTTTGCTTAATATCATGCTTTTTTTTCAGGTTTCGCTCCCACCTAGCGCTGCAGCGTTGGAAAATCATCAGCTGTTCGGCGCTATCGATTATGCGCCGCGGCTAATACCGTGGGACCCCACCATCGCTCTCCCGCATTGTGCATGCTATCCAAAGCGAAAATCACTGTAGGGTCTTCATGCCAGGGCCTCCCAACTTTCCACTGAAATGAAACTGGGTAAACTCCCCGAAAAAAATCTTTTCACCCGTTTCAAAGCTCAAATTCGCGGTCTACAGGTCGAAAAGGCCCAAAACATGCAAAAAGATAGGAATGCAAACTGCAGGGACACTGCTTTTGAAGTCATCTATCTTTCTATGTACTCAATAAAAATGCTGTAAATTGTACTGAGGATATACTGCAGCACTGTTGACAAGGTTGATCCGTTCTGTTGTAGTGACCTATTTATGTGAATCCTACAACACTTTTAAGAGCAATGATTATCTGCCAAACGCTTCTGGACGGCGAGTTATGAGCGTTTCTGTGAAAAACTAGCTGGCTTACCCGGCCCTGTCAAAACACTGTAATAAAGGTTCCATCCCTATCCCTGTACAGTCTTTCCCTGTGCCACTTTTACACATCATTTCCCGTTCTCTGTGTTGTTTTCGAAATCAGCATGCCCACTTACCCCCTGTGCCAACTCCCAGCCCTTCATCTCAAATTTTGAAAAAACCCATAAAAGTAATAGGTAGTAAAAAAAACTAATATTGTATTCGTAATCAGCATGCTCGATTACCCCTTGTGCCAACTCCCAGCCCTGTGGCTCAAACTTCGCAAAAAATCGATAAAATCGACACAAGTAATCGATAACTATGTATTCGGAATCGCCATGCCCACTTACACCCTCCCCCCCTGTGCCAACTCCCAGCCCCGTAGGTGAAATTTGCAAAAAAATCGATAAAATCGATATCGATCGATAACGAAAAGTAGCCTAGACACGCCCCCCGCCCCGAAGTGTATGTATGCCAAGTTTATTACAAATCGGTTCAGAAATAGAATTTTCTATTCCGCACGTACATACAGACAGACAGACATACAGAAGACACACATTCAGCTTTATATACAGGGTGTCCCAAAAGTAAATACACACTTTTCAATCGTGAACATCTCTTTTTCTAATGGGTCTTTTTTTGTCATTGAAGTACCATTCTGTGAAGAAGACTCCAACTTAGATTTACAGTATTGATCGAATCACCGATCATTCTTCTGTAGCATTACGGTAAGAATTTCCAGCATGTGGAACCATTGTGAAATATGCCATCTCACAAAATTTTTTTCAAAAATCTGAAAAATCGTATACAAGGGTTTTCGTGCACGCTGATTCCACTACACAACTTTTTGCGAGGGTTTTCAGCTTTTTTGACGGTGTAATCACATTTCTGACAAACACTGGAAATTCGGTTATTACGGTTTACCTGGGATAACTTTGGAAAAAAGTATCACAGTAAAGTGGAAGTTTCATATTCAAAATCAGCGGTTTCCCTTACCACAGTGTTAGAGTTTTTGGCTTGTTTGGTTTTGTTCCGAGGCAGAATATGGCTTCCAATGGCCTGAAATCCTTGTCGAAGTTCCTACAGTAATCCTACAGTAACGAAGAGCAATTGGCCATCCGCTCGATACTATAAGTCTGAGATGAAACCTCCTCTACAGAATGGCACTCAAATGGCGAGAAAAGACACAATGGGAAGAGAGATATTAACGATTGAAAAGTGTGTACTTGCTTTTGGGACACCCTGTACAAGATATGAAAAACTGAATGCGCAAATGGAACAAAATTTGTCCATAATTGCTCAAATGATTCAGTATCAATTATCAAAGCGCATCATTCAATGGGTTACTTCTATCCAATACTCTCATACCCAGCATTGCTCTACCTAAGCGCTGGAAAGACCGTAACGGCTGATTTTACCTAGACTCCGCGTTTTGCTCCGAAAAACACTCATAACTCGGTGTCCAGAGGACTTGGCAAATGAAAACAGATATGTGATCAGCCTTCAATGGTCTTCAAAGCGGTATTAGATTCACTAGAGAAGGCCACTTCGCCGATCTCTTTTGTGAGCATGTTTTCAACAGAAGAAACGGCTTTCGAAAATTTAAGCTTTTCTATAATCCCTAACTCGCGAGCAGTGGTTCATCGAAAATTTCGTTGTAATGAGATTTCACTTACTTCTACTATAAACATGTTTAGCAGTGCCATTGTCTTCAGCACGATTTTGCAACGTTTTCATTGAGTTTATAGAAAGACTAGCTGGCTTACCCGGCTCCGCCGTATCCGGACCAAACTTGGCACACATACACTTCGGGCCCCGGCGGGTGTCACAGTCCACTTTTCGTTATCGATCGATGTCGATTTTACCGATTTTTATCGATTTTTTTTGCAGAGTTCACCTACAGGGCTAGGAGTTGGCACAGGGGGAAGTGAGCATGGGGATTCCGAACACAATATTAGTTTTCAGAATTATCAATTACTTTTATTGATTTTATCGATTTTTTGTAAATTTTGACCTGCGGGGCTGGGAGTTTGCACAGGGGGGGGGGTAATCGAGCATGCAGATTACGAATACAATATTAGTTTTCAAGATCGTCCATTACTTCTATCGATTTTATCGATTTTTTGAAAATTTGAGCTAGGGGGCTGGAATTTGGCAGGGGGGTGTAATCGAGCATGCTGATCACCCCCCTTGGGGATGATCAGCATGCTCGATTACCCCCCTGTGCCAGCTCCCAGCCCCCTAGCTCAAACTTTGCAAAAAAATCGATAAAATCGATAAAAGTAATCGATAATCCCGAAAACCAATATTGTATTCGGAATCCCCATGTTCGATTACCCCCCTGTGCGAACTCCCAGCCCCGTAGCTCAAACTTTGCAAAAAAATCGATAAAATCGATAAAAGTAATCGATAATCCTGAAAACCAATATTGTATTCGGAATCCCCATGCTCGATTACCACCCTGTGCCAACTCCCAGCCCCATAGGTGAACTCAGCAAAAAAATCGATAAAAATCGATAAAATCGATATCGATCGATGACGAAAAGTAGCCTATGACACGCGCCGGGGCCCGAAGTGTATGTATGCCAAGTTTGGTCCGGATCGGTTCAGAAATGGAATTTTCTATTCGGAACATACGTACACACAGACAGACATACATACAGACAGACAGACAGACAGACAGACAAACAGACATTCAGCTTTATATATAAGATAAATGACTCTCAAAATGAGATATGATCTCCTGAAAATTTGATCTTGTACGACACTACCCTGACAATTATTATGCACAGGTATCGGGGCATGAGAACCTTCATAACATAGATAGAGAAAGAGAAAGAAAGGTATCTAGAGTAGAGAGATATTACGGGTCCTTTCTCAGATCCCTTCCCCTCCCTGCGGAGATATACGTGCATACAGGCTTTGCTCATTATACTCTACAACAACAAACTCGCCCTCTCAATAATGATTTCTTCTCTTTTACAGATCGCAAGGGTAGCTCCAGTTCACTAGACACGTTGATATATAGCCGATACCCGCAAATGAGCGTAACTCTGATCGCTGCGGTACCTCCTCCTAAAGCAGGCAAAACTATTGTTGAAAAGTAAGTCTACTATCTAAGGCTATGCGAGTTTATGCCTTGACTACAGCAAGCAACCCAAGCCACCACCACCAGAGGAGCCCCCTAAGCAACCAGTTTTTGTGGCGGAGACGATGGCAGGAGAAAAATCAAGCACTGATGATGATGTGCAAAATAGTGCCGCGGTCTCCTTGAAAAAGGACAGGTGATTACGCTTTTTTCGTTCGAGATTTTGATCTATCAAGAATCAATTCATCTGTCATTTCTGCAGAACTGACAAATCTGCAAGGCTTGCCGCTCTGTTAGGAGTGAACATCGAAGACACTTCAATATCGTCGTCGTCGGTTCCCGAGAGACCTCCTCATCTCACTTTGCAACAATCAGACGAACAAATTGTGGAAGAGATGTCGAAAGCAGGCATCGAGCTACCGATCCCTCCCAAAGAAGAGCCTGAGCTGTCTATCGATGAAAGGATTATTGAGATAACACCACACATCAGATTGCCATCCCATATGGAAGATAAAGAGTTGCTGGACGTTGATCTGGCTCCTGTCAAATTGCCAGCGCTTCCGGTTAAAGAGTCGTCGGACGTTGATCTGGCTCCTGTCTCTAAATTGCCAGCGCTTCCGGTTAAAGAGTCGTCGGACGTTGATCTGGCTCCTGTGTCTGTATTGCCACCGCTTCCGGTTGAAGAGTCGTCGGACGTTGATCTGGCTCCTGTCTCTATATTGCCAGCGCTTCCAGTTCTGCCCGATTTTGAGATCACGGAGTCCGATTCTAGGCCGAAAACATCGAAACCTGGGAGAACACATGCGACTTCTGTTATCTCAAACGATGTCGTGTTTGTTCCCAAGAAAGCACGTGAACACTCAAATGCGCTGAAAAGAGCATCAAGCCGAGAGAAGCCGACACGCACCGGGTCACGCGAACTTCTGAAACCTCCCACTCGAACGCACGATTCTGACGAAAGCGATCCAGAGGTAAGCGTAGCGAAACAATCACTCCAACTGCTATTCGCATGAACGTTTTCAGGTGTCCGCCTTCAGACATTTCACTAAAACTGGTCGATTCAAAGACGGGGTTCCTCTAACTAGGAGAAGACTGCGCAGGCCAGAGCGCCAGCTCTCGAGTATTTCCGAGAAAAGCGCCGAAATAGCTGCGGAAGCTGCTCTGCAACAACATCAAACTCAAGATTATTCGATATCCGCACCCAATACAACCCGTTCCCTGACAGAGTGGCAACGTAATATACCGAAGCCGTTGCCAACCAGTAATGGTTCCGATACGCAAACGGACGTTGACATACCCTCCGAAGTGCAAAAACGTATGTCACCATCGAGTTCTAAAGTGTTGGAGAAGCAGAAAGGGAAGAAAGTGCAAGCTGAGCAGTTCTCGAAATCTAAGTCGGAATCTTCAATCCAGCGTCGATCTCGGTTATCTTCCATGCCCTCAACATCTAGTGCTCCACCAGCAGAATCAAAAGCTGTAAGAGAGCGCGGATTTGTCTCGTCCCCCGAAATCCCGGACGTCACACTCAGGCGGTCATTAGACCGGTTGGATCTGCTGGAGGGCTCTCCCGACTTTGACTCGAACAGGGGCGCTTTCACATCCAGGTCACAAGTCGGTCTAGGCAGCAAAGTTCGCAAAGCAACTAAGTATACTAAACGGCTACCCACTGCTCCTGGCAGGAGATCGGAGAAAAAAATGAAAGTACCTTCTCAGACTTCAGATGATGGAGAAACAGTGGCTTCTGGTTCGAGAAGCAAGTTTCCCAGGAAAGAAACGGCAAAGGAAGTGGACACTCCCCACTCATCCAAATCGAGCGCTTTGATCAGCAGGAAAATTGCAACACGTCGGCAGGAGAGCCTGTCGAAGTCCGCTGCTGACCTCAGACAGGAACGCAGCAACTCCGCGATGGGTCGCCGAGCGAAAGCCTCTCGGTCAGCCGACGTTCGTGGCAGACGTCCTCCATGGAACTCTTCCATAAAGGTGCCTGACGATGCGTATAAAATCTACCACGAGCCTTTCCTTCCCGAAATCAAAACAACCACGAGGTATTACGAGAAGAGTCGATCTGTGGTCAACTCGCCTACTGGTATGCAACACACAAGCTTAAGCAAATTTTCTCTTACCAGTTTACCTCCTCGATGTAACTCACAGATTGAGTTTTCGCCATATTTCACTCCAGGGGCTGATCCGGCTAAACGGCCCAAGGAGGACTTGTGGTGGGGGCCTCCAAAGCGATTTTAGGTGATTGTCTTTCGCACTTGTTCGAGTAGTACTTCTCTTACGTTCATCGATTCTTTATTGGCCTTCTACTTGCGGAGCTTTGTCTTTAATCTGCTGTTAGGATCTTCATTCTCGGTCATGTGTTGTTCATGATCTGTGTCATTTGCGTCTTTCATTCATTTATTTATGCCCCCTTTAGAGTTGTTATTTGTGGCCCGTTGATTTGTTTGATATGTTGCAATTTGTCATCCGCTTTCTTCGATCGGGTTTTCACTTCAGTGTCTATTCGGTTCAATAAAATCGCTGACTACAAGAGCATCATTTTTTTCTGATGTTCAAATTACGTTACATTTATTGTAATATAAATGTTGGAATATTGTTGTCACTTACTGAAAGCGAAAGTCATCCAGATTAGCTACAAACCAATCGTCGTACAAAACATGTCAGACCCATGGACTTTAAGAGCGGTTCAGATGAGTGCGTCTGTCTTTACAGTATTAGTATGTACAGATTAAAAAGCGGACGAAAAAACCTTCGACATACGGTTATGTTAAGAGTGGAACTCCACATTTATTTGTCTTATTTCGAGAAATAAATTAGAATCCTTGTTGATATGTGTGTTAGCTGTGACCAGACTGGAACTGATCTTCATTGGCTGACTTCGACGTTTCGACGCTCAACTTCTCCTTCGGAGCCTGAAAAATCGTAATCACAAATGCGTATGCGTTCAGACATCAAATTAGACGAAACAAAGTCGGGATTAGTCACCCCAGATTAGCACATGCAGTAGTTAAAAACAGCCACTTTATGCCAAACTGCCTCAACCTCACCTTTTTATTCGCCAAAGTGATCTGGCCACATGCAAAGGCGCAGAGGAATTGGCGAGGTCCATTTGGTGGTGATCGCAATGCTATCTTTCCAGTTCATTTCTGGACTGCATGTTCATTAACCAGTGCTGTTGGTATATCTACCCTAAAAAGCGCGTTGCAAAGCACTATGAAAGCTTGTTTCTCTGATAACCAAACTTACATCTTGTCCCAATCCGGATCACTATTATTATTCTCTAAATTATCATAAAAGGTGCTGGAATGAAGGAGACTTAGCAGCGATTGAGCGCGTGGGTCAAATTGTAGCAATGACTCAACGCCAACGTCCACACGATTATAACAGATGGGGCTTTCATGTGGAAAGTTTTTACTCAAACTTACAACCTACAGCTTACCTTAGGTACACAGAGCCACGTAACAACCGTATCATTACTGTTACCGAAGTAACAGGTCATGCCACAAGCATGACCTGCTGTGATTGTCTGTTATATTACTCTACCACGCCTATTATCGTCAACATTATACCACTGCACTAATTCGTGCAAATCCTCTGTTCATAAAGCTTATTAGCTAATGTTTCCTTAACACACTCTAAAGGGCACTATTTCGCCTCAGATTACTGTAAAGCCTACGAACAACAGATACAAATGTAGTCTGAGACCTTCACTTTGGTTTTCAACGTCGGCGACGTTGTCAGTCTCTTCTAGTCGTTTCATAACAAGCAGAATGGTATATAAATTTTGCAGGATTTCCTGAGAACCCACGGAGACCAACGACTAGATCCAAATGCCCCGACGACTCTGCTATTTCTCCTCTGCTCGTCTGCTCTTCTACCTAACGCGTGCTTTCTCGCTACTGCGCGCTCCAAAGGAGATTTGGCTTTTGTACTTTTTTGTCCGTGGTTTTAAGCAGAAATAAAATGCTCTTTGGAATTCCTTCCATTTTTCCTTCGACTTACCTCTTTTCACGCGGCTGTCTTTCTGCACTTGACGGATCTTGCCGTTGTCTATAATATAGACAACGTCGCCAAGCTTTTCTTTCGCTGCGAAATTTCAGGTGAAAAGCTGCAAAAAGTGAGTTTTCTTCAGATAAAGTAAGCACACAACCTCTTTCATGTTCAAGGGTAGCTTACTCAATATGATGAGGAGAACAACCAAGACCGGGGCGGGGATGAGGTGGGGGAAGGGCAGGGTTCTAAATAAACTTCACCTTTGACACCTTTGAGCGTCATCTTTAGACTATCAAGGATATGGTGTAGACTAATTGTGGAGCCGTAGCTGAAGCGCTGCTTATTCGGCAACTTGACATGGCATATGACTTGGCATTTTTGCAGGGTGTGTCCGAGGGCGTCCTCTCTAATGGACTCAAAATCCCACATCCCAGTTTTGCCTGAACACTGCCTTCAAAGGCGGCGCCGTGGCAATGTGGGGTTGTCGGCTGTTGCAGTGGTAACGATAGTCACCCCCTCCCTCTCCCTGGTAAGCGATAAAGACACGGAAAACAGGGTCTACAAAGCCTAGAATTCGCTTTGAAAGCGGCTCGGAAAACGCTCTTCCCGTGCCCAGCCATTCATACTAGAAGCTTGAGCAAGCATATCGCCACGATTGTGACCTATGGATGATCCTACAACGACAGTGCGTCTGCAAAACTTTTTTCAACATTTACGCACTCTACAAGCACATTTTCGGAATCAGCGGGACTTATAAGCCTGTAAGCGGAAAATTCTCGTATTCAGGTTCTGTTGGGACTGTGCTTCTAGCTCCTATGTAGCTCGAATCCAACTAAATATCGTCCTAGTATGAAAAATCGTAGCGGATTGTTTTACTTATATCTTCTCTCTGTCTCCGAAACTCAGTGTTACTACTCAAATTATTCCACTAATCTTTCACCCCGCTTAGTTACAACATAAAAACGAGAAAATCGCTATTAATTACTTTTCTGGTTTTCCGTCGTCATGATGCCTCTTTTCTTTCACCTTTCTCATTTTTTTACTTTTTTTGATAAATTGTGAGCGAAAAGCTAATATACCGAAATGTTTGCCAACTTTTACATAGTGTCTTATTTATCGTGTGTCAGTCACAGTTCACGAGCATTGTCCTTTATTCCTCTCTCCTTCAGTAAACGAGAGTTGGATCTTTTCATCTGCCGTAAAGCATAGGTCTTTTAAAGCTAATCAAAGCAGCTTGATCGTTATTGCGGCAAAGATATTTGACAATTAGGGGCAACATTGTCATCGATGACGAAGATGTTGTTTGCTTTGATCGAATCTATCGCAGCATTTTCGAAAGTGATCAGTCGCACTAGTGAGGAGCACTATAGCGACTTTCGTCTAAAAAATGTGGTATACACTATACCCTGTCTTCATTATTTGTTCTACTTATCGGCTCTATGGGTGGACGAGACGCGTAGTGATATGAGTCGCCGCTATAACCAGACCCAGGTTTGAATCCACCCCTGGCCAACCAAGCTCTCTACCCCCGAGGCCGCGCCTATATGGTACCAGAATAATTTGGGAGGATAAATGCACTGACTTGGTAAATGGCCCCCTCAAGTCACTGTAAAAGCTTCGCACGCATTCAGTAGCCTATTCGGCAGTGACGCAGAGTGCGTTCGGCGCATGCCCTTGCCCTCAAAGGGTATTGCATACACCGAATCCTTTATCGTTTATCCTTTATCGGCTGTATGACTTGGGAACGAATGATATCAATAAAATGATGAAAAAGTAGTCTTGTTGAAGACAACAAGGGACAAATTGACTTCAACAATAAAAATCAATGCACTGAATTTCGACTCATAGAGAATACCGCTTATAATACGTGCGCTCGTAATCAATTTTGGTATTTTATTACTGTTTGTGGGAATGTTACTGGAAAATGTATGTAGGTTTGCTATCACTGAAAAGAGTAATTCTAGGAGACAAACGGTCAACTTTCTTGAGCAGAAACTTTTGATGACAAAACGGTGCAGGGATGTACAAACCGATTATATTAGTAGTTTTCCGGAAAACTCATGAAAAAAAACAAACAAACCGAATTTGATGTAACATGCACAATTGGTACAAATATGGTTTTGATGTGCAGCCATTCTGGACATAGGTGGTCAAACTCGAGCGATCAGGAAAGCAGAAAAATTTACTTCTGTCCACAAAGGTCAAGAAATTCTCACGTTTTTGACTACAAAAATCAGCAAAGCAGTCTTCATTGTGGTTCACCATAATACAGGTTGAAAATGGAACCTAGGAAGTCAAAAGTAGTATGTCTTCTAGAAGCTTATACAAAGGCATAAATGTCATTTATTGACGGCGAAAAAATCTAAATATTTGATATGCGAGATCGGAAGCTCAAAATGTCTCTCCTCAGCAGAAACGGTTGAACAGCTGAACACCTAATAATAGCTATTCAAATTGTTACAGAATTTCGTATTTGCATGTCGCTGTCTCACATTACTACTTAGACAACCTAATAGAAGGGCCACAGCTTGCCGGAATACGAGTTACGTGTTAGGTGCTCACTTTTTACGAACTTTTCTAAATGATTATTCAATGTGTTGTCGACTAGCTTTACACAAATGATATTGGAATTTGGAAGGATACTGCAGAAGTAATACAGTAATGTCACTTTGAGTAGTTGTTATGTCAGAACACTCAGTGATCTTTTCAAGCAATGATTTGAAAATGTTCATGACGACTGACTATCTGCCCTTAAACCCATCGAATCCCGACATTTATGGCACCTACAAATCAGAAGATGCTCTTCGTCCACCTGTAGATTGCCAGGCTCGAATTCGAAGTTCGTCCACATTAAATGGAGTTGTGAGTTCCGCATGAATTCCGCAATAAAAACGTAAAGTTAGTGAACTCTTTCAGCAATTTCTTCCAACTTCTTGCACCGTTCGCCGCGGTTTTTTTCACTGATTCTGCGATTTTGTACACAGAAATCTCACATTTAGTTAGTTGCTGCCATTTCCAGTAATTTAGATTAAGTATTGTTCGACTAACGAATGCCAATGCCAGCTTACCTGCTTACTCTTCCAGGAAAGCAAATATACGCATTTTTTTTATACATGATCCTGCTAATGTTGCTAGAAAAACAAACATAATTTCATATGTATCGTAGTACTCGAGCTCCATTCCCAATCTAGATGACACCAAATATGTGTTTCTGATAAATTGTCTTCCACACGCTCTAGTGACAATGCGGCTTTTTAATATCTTGCACGTTGCTTGGACATTTCTGCATGAAAGACCTTGATATTCTCAACTAATTAATGTCATAAGGCGCTCAATTGCTTGAGCAATCTGCGGCTTTAGGTAGCCATACACATCGTATTGAATATAAAGATCGTGAAGTCTTTGAATTATGGACTTCCTCGAATGCACAGACTACAGACTATACAGTCTACAGACTTCATAGTTATTTCCTAGTTCATCAACCAGCATATATGAAAGAAAAACCTGACAGTTTCTTTCAGTCTCCAAACAATCTGTGTTCGCACATTTTCTTCATTCTAGAACGAAATAACAAATCATTTCATGAGTAATTTTGATGATGCCATCTATGAAAGTGTTTTTTGTCGCAACATTTTTTGGGAACATCTCAAATCTATACCTTACCCTGTTTTCTCAACCGAAGTGATTGTCAACCAAACGGAATGGAAGCAGTACTGTGGTCGTTAGAATACTTCAACCACGTTTTAATTCACTCCGACGTAAGGGAGGACCCTTGCACTTACTCTGATTTCTGAAACCTGAGCAATTCTACCGAGATTGATGGACTCTAACAGTTGTTATATTTATTCTAAACAAAACAGTTTATTTCAATATCATTATAGAATGGGATGCAGGCGCGTGATGAAGTGTTGTCTGGAAAAGGATCACATAGTTTATGTATAGAACTTCAGTAACAGCTAGAGGTCCGATACTCGCCTCGTATGTCAATTTTCCTCCCACTACAGTGCTCTAATCGACGAGTAGGATCCAGATCCGGCCAATTTTTGCCTCAGCCATGAGATCGGGATACATTCTTTGATGCCGTCGGCTTCAGCTTGGCGTAATAGCGAGGTTAGCGTCTCCAAATTCTGAGTCAACTAAAACGCCATATAAAAATAATTCAAACTTCGTATTTTTACTTGATAGCCAACATAAAGGCCTCCATAATCAAAAAAAGTATAATTGACCTGGTAGATTTCAGATGACTGTTCTTGTTCAGGCGCATCAGATCGCTTCAACATTATTCCACGACATGCAGGTGCAAATGAGAACTTTCTGAAATTTCAAGTGTAAAGGATGAGATCTTCGATAATTTCACTTCCTGTTTCTTTGCTAGTAAAGTTTTTGGTTCAGATTATAAAAAAAACAATTCGACTATTACCGTTAGACTTTCTTTTCAACAATAAAGAAGGGGAATTATTGGCGACAAAGAAATGCTCTAGAGGCTGCCAATAATAATTTTCCATCTCATAAAAATTCTACCGTATGCAATCGAGTTTTAGATGACCTACTTTTCAGTTTGAATTCGTGAGTTCGAAAGCTAGATTTACCTGCAGTCAAGTGCGAAAGCAATAGGAATAAGGGAGAGAAGGACGAATAGTATGCTACGCATATCTGTATGAGCGCGAGAAGTAAGACGACTTGGTCACGCCCTCGACGTTACGCTTCTGGTGACATGGCCAGCCCTCTTTGCTTTGCCTTCGAGTAATAAGAGGAACCGCCTCCGGCGATCAGCGTTACTTGATTGTATGTGACACCTGAAAAGCATTTTTTTACGTCTAAGGAAGTCGCCTGTCGACCGTTGACGGTAATTTCACTAGCGAATAGCACTCCGAGATTCTGAAAGCCCGATGCGATCTCGCTGATCTCCGAGGAAGATTCTTGAGCTGCCAGCTGTTTTGTAAGGAAGTAGGAATAGAAGAACAGCCGTCAAAACGATTCAATATCGCTGAGTGCACTCTTTCGTGAATTCGCTGAAGGTTTTGAAAAAGGATGCTTTAAACGCGTATCCATTAAGCTTTTCTATTCCAAGCATTCTATCGGCATTAGTGATGTACTTCATCAAAAAACCATGGAAAAAACTTCGGAAAAACGAGAAAAAACATTTCTTATCTATGAGTTCAATGATATATAGGTTTTTCAGAAAGTGAAAATATAGTCTGTTCACTACAGCACTTTAAATCAAAACCACTAAACTTGCTTTGTCTCCAAAAAAAACTACTCAAGTCACCATCAGCTCTCCTCAAGCAGCATTTTTTTCTCACATACTCCAATTATATTTATACCCAGTCAAGTCCTCTACAATGAGACTGCAGCCTTGAAGTGGATGCACATTATATAGCGAGCGAGTTTGGTGCTCTCAAATGAGGAAAGAACAGGAGTGGAATAAGGTACCAAAGAATGTCATACATCTGCGGATAAACGGAGAAGAAGGGAATTTGTGTAATCAGAAAATCTTTCATAGCACTGCGTTTTCATAAAAAAACACTTCGTGTGGTATTCCTGAGTTAAAATGATTTTTCAAGGGAAACCCCGCTACTGAGGTCAAAAACGATCATTTACACTTTTATTTCAAGTGCTTTCACGTAAACTTGTCGTTGATGAATTAGATTTGCCTCAGTGACTTTCCGTCCTGTTTTGAGAGTAGGCAAAACGTAATTACCAAATATTACCAAGTTGATTTTACTATGAATCGCGGTTTTCAATCAAGACATTCCATAAAATATTCCATTAACGTGAATGACTACATAAGCTCGGGAGTTCTGTTGTTTTCTTAGTGATGCCACAGATAAAATATCGATAAATGGCTCTCAAAAAAAGATAACTTCTCTGAAAGTATGTATCCTATGCATTTAAACTGTTCTTTTTAATTGGACACGGAAAACGAATAGGTCCAATATTCAAGAGAGCTGCACGGCAGGTGAATTTTTTATGACTGGTCATGTTTCTGCCCAGGGGATAGACACGCTAGGTTTGGTGTAAAGATAGGCTTGTTGTGATCAAATCGAACTTTTCAGAAGTCAGGACGTGATTGACTCAATGTGTCCCCCGAGTTTATCTATTTTGATTCTCGCAATACCTATACAATGGCACTCGTCATATTTAATACTATTTTGTTTACTTCAGGTTCATGAAATTTGCTGGCGACATAGGAGCTGATACATTAAGAAAAAACTCTTTAGATGGGAAAACCACCTATCTATAACTATCTATATACTAGCTTGTAGCGTGTGACTTTATGTTTTGTATCGGAAACTAAAGTAAACATTATTCTCCATACGATTTCCAATGTGGTCCTCAGCTGCCTACACAAAACAGAAAAAGAAGCCGACTGATCAGCGGCTTTCAGCAAATTGTGGTAGCTGAAGTTCTGATCAATACTTAAATTACATTATAAACTCTAATAGAAAACTGAAGCAAGCTGTTGACTTCCATCATAAATACGCGGAAATCAGCGGAAATTACTATAGACGATGTCATACTGTACGGCGCATATTCCATGACACCCGAGGGTGGCAAAAGCCGAGCAGAGCATATTTCAATAAAAACTCAACATTCTTTTTTTGTAAATTTTCTAAATTTGGTCCAATAATGTTTCAAATTTGAAATTTTAGTACTTCTTTATCACTCAATTTCTGTGAATAATGGCTGTTTTAAAGAAAAAGCTCGACAAAAGTGGAAGCAAAGCAACTTGTCTAGATCCTAATCGCTTTTGCTGGCAGAAACAAGCTTCTAATTATTGCAGTATAATGCAGTTTAGTTGATACCTGTACACTACTTGCAAACAGAGTAGGAACAAAATTATCCTCAGTATTGGGTGAATCATCCATTTTTTGCTATGTTACTTATTAGATGCCATTGAGAAAATAACCTAAACTGTTTTTATAAAATGATTCTCATGACACTAGTTTTACGGAAAATGATTTTCATGGCAAACGTTCTGAAATCGTAGATTGAGATGAATAGCTTTGCTATAGCCGTAAATTATGTAGTCAACGTGTACTTGGTAATTCTAGGTGAAACCCTATTTCATAGGCATAGTTATGGTCATAAAAACTTTGTGTTATATCCTTGTCATTTCTTACCATTACATCTGAAGAAAGTCTTTTGAGTCAAATCCTTGAGTATTTTCTTATTATGCCTGAACAGGACAGGCGGTAGTGTTTTGTTAAGAAGTATTCTTGGCTATTCAATGCGATCACGGTCACTGCTTTCTGACCAGGTTTCATTGCTAAATGCAAAAAAAAATCGTACTACAAGTCCTGCTATTGCTATTAGAACTCAAGCTTATTGTAAACAGAATAATCTGGTAAAGTGTTAAGAAACTTTTGGAAAAGCAAAGTGAGTGAGTCAATTTTTGTATTTTTGAGTGCACGTTTTGAGCGTCCTGCAACGTGTAAATTTCGTTATAAGTTTTTCGAGATCCATTCAAGTATGAAGGCAAACTCCATCAATTGGATGTGAGTGCTAACCTTACCAATGAAAAAGTGAATCTTATCGTTAGTGTGATTCAAAATGATTCGCAGAAGGAAAAGTGATTTTGCTAGACTGAAACAATCAGGTTGTCCCATAAGTTTCGTCCATTTTGAATTTCGACCGCAACAAGCCCACCCTCATTTCTAAATAGATTGCAATGCACTCTGATCGATAATGCAAAGCAAGCTCTACAAGAAGGCTATCTTGCTTTTGCACCAGCTCTGGTCCCTCTCGAGTTTCAGGCCGAAAACTTAAAAGATCCAACTGCCCGAAAACCCGAGAAAAAATCATACCTCGTTTGAAAAAACCCAAAAAATTCTAACTTGCTCGCGTAAACACTATCCATCTAACAGTAAAACATTTATGTACCCGTTGCCGTATTTTCTCTTCGGTCAGAAATCAAGGAAACGAAGATTTTTATGATTTTGCCAAAGTGATGCGGTGCTGTCTCTATCGATAGTTTTATACTGCTAGCCTGTAGGAGTACAAATGTAAATTTTTAGCTCTCTACAAGCATTGGTTTTCGAGAAATATGGACTTTACCGTAATGCACCCAACTAGGGCGAGCTGTATTCGATACTTCTCGAGAATCAAAGCTTGTAGGGAGCTGAAAGTTTATTAACTTCTACAGGCTAGTAGTATACAACCATCTATGTTGAGACAGCACAACATCATTTTGACGAAAACATAAAAATCTCCGTTTTCTTGATTTCTGAATGATGAAAAAAACATGCGGCGTATATAAATGTCTTGAATGGATAGTGTTTAAGCGAGTAATTTAGGATATTTGTAGAATTTTTTTAAACAAAGTTACGATTTTTCTCGATTTTTTGGGCAATTTATTTTTTTTAGTTTTCGGCCTGAAACTCGAAATGGATCAGAGCTGAGCAAAAGCAAGGTAGCCATCTTGTAGAGCTTGCTTTGCTCTATCAAATGGTACCTTAAAACCTATCTAAAAACAAGAAGTTTATGATTTACTGCGATTGAAATCAAAACGGACAGAACTTATGGGACAACCTAATAGATTCATTGGGAAGATACTTTATATAGGCTTAGCTGGAAAAGCGTTCAATCCCACCTCTATCCAACCATATATTCATTGCGCACGTGCTCTGACAGCAAAAATTCTTCTTCTCGACCTCAATACTTTGATGACTCCCTAATCGTTTGACTAGCATGCACCGCTAAATTTCAGAAAATGATAAGATCAAATTTGAGAAGGATCGTCCCAAGATTTTAAGCATTTGATTACTTTTTCGCGTGGGTGGGTTGTTGGTTATTCATGAAGATACCATTTTTGACATTCATTTACATGCACTGTTTGTTTAACAACATAATTTATTCACCAAATTTTTCCCTTCTCATATGTCCTTACACTTTTTGACAAGAAAAAACAATGTACAGGAGTAAATTCAGATGTGGACCAATTCAAAGAATGTGATATCTTGAAAAGCATTCATTACGATACTACTGTTTTACATGCCACGAACTCCTAAAGCATTTTCAAATGATGGTCGTCTCGATTAAATCATGGGTTTTGAACACGCATCCAGCAAAAAGCGTGAAGCCTTTTTGGCGTAGGAAGGAGATGTAAAGGGGAATCTTGACTTTAAACTTTACAGGAAATAATAAACATTGATTCCCACAATACTTCTTAATGTGGTTAAATGGCTGCTGACTTTTATCAGCTTGATGCAACATAACTTAGCGGATTACTCTATCTTTTTTACAGAGATTGAATCAAGTCACATGCACTACTGAAAGTGATGAGATTTTGTGCAAAGGCGCTTTATCTCTTATCACATACCTAACTAAATATCTATGTTAGGCTTGGAAAAATTGCTCTCTGAATTGCGTTTTCACCAAAAAAAATTCATAGAGCCCTTTCACTTGACAAGCGGTTGCGAAATTCCCAGAATGAAACACATGATGTATTCATCACTGCAGTGTGTTTTGACACAGATGTCAATGTAATAGAAGACGACGCCCAGTGCTAAGTGCCTCCGCATAGCAAGTGAAGTAATAAGTGCATCTGAAACTAGATAGGACTTGGAAGGTCATATTCAAATGATTCGCTGGGCACACTTTCTTGAGAAAATGTGCTAGAATCATCTCTAGTTAGCGAACACGCAAGAGCAGATTCCGTCCATTCCATAAAAAACTTAGAGATGGCCTAAAAACCCACAAACAATTCCGGGTGTATGGTCGAGCAAATTTCCTCGTGAATGTGTACAATGCACGATTTCTGGATAAGCTACAAGGCTCGGATAGCTTTTTTTGGTGTTCTTCTTGGTTTTCTTGGTTGTTTGGGCACAAACTAAGCACTGGGCACTAACTTTTGCTCTTTTGTATTACGGAGGAAATGAAGTGGCAGACCCTTTGGCAGAAATTCCTCTACATGTCCGAAGCATAAAATTTATGTAGTTTCTTTTTTATTCAAAAACTATTGGAATAAAAATTTGACAGTGAAGAAAACTGCATAGTTCGATTGGGCAAATATATTTCAGCACCAGAACACGATGATTTCAAAGGCCTATTGAACATATACAGATTGATTACTAAAGCGAGATGATGTTTCAGTTATGACTTTCGGTAAAAAAAGAACACGTAACTATACATAGAATAATTTTAAAGCAGTAGGGAAAAGTATTTAGGACACAGAATGTAAAAGTTATAGTATTTGAGGTCACACATTAATTGCATCTCTTGATGTAGATGGATACGAGTCAGAGTGCAGTGGAAGAAAAAGTATGCCCGCTTACAAAACTGTGCAACAGTCGCAACAGTCCATTAGTCGACGTAGTTGAGCCATGAATCTACGTTCAGCCAGAGCTTGCCCTCGTTTTTTCGTTAACTGCAATATGCTATAATAATATAAGCTCGCTCCGCTGTAAATCATGAAACAGCAAAGAGCAAGAAAGTCGTAGCTGTATTTTTAGGCGCTGCGCTAAACTGAATTCTTATACTGAAAAAGAACAAGACAGAAAGAGCAAGCGCGTGTGCGCACTTTTGGCACGAGTCAATATCTTAGCAAAAAAACGAAATTCAAATATTTGAAATATAACACATAAAAATGACGCGAGATGAAAAGTACCTACGTACCCTTGCTTTCTCTGCAAGCTTCTCCATCTCATGCAGGACACTGTGTGCCTCTGACACATCCAGGTCTACACTTGTCTCTTGCGAAGATGTCGTTTCGGGCAGAACAGATCCGCTGGCAACAACGAATGCTTTTTCCCAAGAATCGCTGGCCTGAAAAGAAAAAGGTCAACCATCAACAACAACTGTGCTAGTGACTAAACTGTTATCCTTGTCACAAATCTTTGCATCAGCCTGTGAATAAAGAGGGATACATGCACTACATGTGAGAGTAGAATTAGGCAAGTGCACACGAAATTACAAGATTACCTGCGCTACTGGAGACGGCTCAATTGTCACTGTCACCATTTCATTCAGCGCCGGTGCTGAAAATAATCCAGCTTTAGTTGGTCATACTCTCAGTGGCGAGAAGAAAGAAAAAAACGTAAATGTAGTAACACTAATGTATACATATTATTTGAACGGAATTACGAAAGTAAAAAAGAATGAATGTTGCAATTTTGTCCACATGTAATAAGGTCCAGTTTCCAACATATTTTCTAGCTTCCGCAATCTTGTTCTATTGTGAGAATTCAAGGATTAAAGAATTCAAAGACTGAACACCATCTTTATTCAATTCAACTTTCTACACTTTTTTTACTTACACCCTCACAGAACTTCCGGACCCCCAGCTGGAACAGAGGCTGCCACCAGCGGCGGACCAAGGAAAAGCATGCGCCCGCAAACGGATCGTGAAGTTGTTGAAAGTTACTTGCAGGGTGCAAGCGACTTGGTCAAACTTGTCAATAATCAAAATAATTTTTTACATTTTCAAAATCATTGTATGAATCCCAAAAATTTTTTCGGCTGACGCGAAGCTTCTTCATTCCAAAAATTTTTTGTCGCCCCCCTCCTGCGATAAGTCTTTTAGAGGCAGAAACTCCAAGGAATGACAGACTTTCTTACCTTCTTGGTTGATTTCCACCCAAGATGTCACTTTTTCGGTAAGTTTCATTTTGGTACTCTGAAAAACAAAATTGTATGCAAATGAATGTGTCAGCCTACAAGTTAAAGATGCCCACCTTCTGAAGATGCTCAAACATCTCTACCTTCTCCTTCACATCGACATCACCATCCATTTCAATTTCAACGCTAAGAAGTTCCGGCTCTTCTTTCTCTTCACTTGTTTCGAACACCAGTCTTCGTTCCTTGACTGGTGTGCCTTGCGGAATGTATGTGTCGCTCTCTTCAGCAGATTCTTCTATGTTCGAGTCGGACATAGCGGATTTAAGCACCCTTTGGTCGTCAACAATATATTCTTCCCCAAAAACATTACTTATGATATCAGCCATGCTGTACAGCTCCTCACTTCTCGGTTCTTCCACTACAACATTTACTATGGTCTGCGCATCAGCGTCCTCGCTGACATCACTAGGTACATCTTCGAGTTCGGTAGTTGATTCAACATCTGGCAAAACTTCCGCATCTTCATTTATCTCTCCATTTGTTTCATCTACATCAAGTTTCTCTTCTACTCCTACGCCTTTCTTAACCGATTCCTCCTCTGGCTCAGTGATGACAATTTCTGGCACTGGGTTGCCTTCTGTGGGTAAACCTTCTTCCGTGGGCATATCTTGAGCCAGTTTTTGAATGATTACCTCTGCCGTTTCTTCTGATAAAAGATCCGCTGAGTCCTCGATATCATCACTTCCTGATTCGGATAGAGCTTCGTATCGCCGTTCGTCTCCCTGCACTTCTTCTTGGGGCTCAACCTCCGCAGGTTCTTCTGACAAAAGGTCCGCTGAGTCTTCAACATTATCACTTCCGGATTCGGATAGAGCTTCGTATCGCTGTTCGTCTTCTTGCACTTCTTCTTTGGGCTCAACCTCTGCAGGTTCTTCGGATGAAAGCTCTCCTGAGTCCTCCACATGATCACTACCGGATTCGGATGGAACTTCGTAGCGCCGTTCGTCTTCGTGTGGAACTTGTTCGAGGGGCTTATCAGCAACTTGTTCCTTATCTTCTGCTTCCTCAAAAGAGTCGACGGGGGAAGGTTTATCCTCATGTTCCGCTTGTTCCGACTGCGCCAGGACATCTTTGTCCGTAGGGTCCTTATGCTCCTGGAATGGCAGACGTTACTATCGGTCAATGTGTGTTCCATCAACCTACCGTATACTCCGTCTCGCTTTGCACCATAGGATCGTTATCATCGCATAGAGTAATTTCATGGGTGCGACATGGCGTACTATTCAGAGCCGATCTTTCGCATGTGACGTCAAGTGAGATGTCGCTTTCCGGTGACTAAACAAGAAGGAAACTCTATACAGCAACACAAGAGTCCACAGCGACCGCTCACCCTATCATCTCCAATAACGTAATCAAATTTTCCGCTAGTTTCGAATGTTTGATTCACCGACACAAAGGATGTATGGCCAGAATCTGGTGTTCGGAACATCTCACGTGAAGAAGGCTAGAAGATGTACAAAACTTTGCGAACATTCTTTTCCAGTGATTACATCGGATGAACAAGCAGAAGATAAAAAAAACATGATATCATTCCAATCCAAAAGAATAATATGATCATAACCAAATATAACCGAAGATTCAGTTAACCTTCGACGCTTCGTCAACAGCCGAAGCGGAACTTCGACTTGTGGGTGGCGTGCGTTCGCCAGAAGATGCTTTACTGTCGTCGTTATCGACCTCATCTTTTCGTAGTTGTTCCACGATGTTTTGATCGCCATCCTGAATAGAATAAATATACCGAAAAATTACGAAGATATAAACAAATCATAATTCGAACTGAGTTTGGATATGAAAAGAAGTCACCCCTATTAGATCAGACTGAACTTCTTCAGAAACGATCGACACCATGGCTGAGAGTTCGCAATCTGTAATCGGTTATTTTTTCCTGGTTAATAAACTATAAACCTGAATGCCTCTATTTCCATATGTCTTGCATTCTCACGCACCTTTGGGAAGTGGCTGCAATGCTACAGGACTCGGAGTTTTGGAGTTCGATTTGAATGAACTTGTCGGACGGATGATCTGTCCACGGCTGTCGAGAACTTCCACTACTTGATAGATAAGTTGTGAGCAACTCGTTTCTGAACACAATCGAATCTTTCCATTAAATTCAAAGCGCATACAAAATATACATCGTCATATTGATAGTGCCACACATATTGTTCAACTCGTCAGCAACCAACTGACGGCCTGTCTCTTTCCTAAAATATTGCATTACCTAAACTCCACTAAATCAAACAAGAGGTCAGACCTGTACTGGTCCCTGATAGCATTCCAGCTGACAGATCCATCTTGCGAAATTGCAGAAAGTCGTCGGACAATGTGGCAAAAGATTATGAAGCTTTCCTAAGCACAGCAAAACTTCACAAGTTGACAATCCCAGAAATGTTAATTTACGCACAGTCCTTGGATTGAAACGCGGTGTACCACCATCCGGCGTCCCTCCGCGCGAGCTAGACTCGCTTTTTGATCTAGCGGTTCTTTTCTTCAATGTACCCGTTTTGCGAGCATGATCAACATGAAGAGCATACCTGTAGACAAATGATTGCAGACAAACGATTACAGAAAATATGTAGATGTTGAGAGTGATGCAATAAAATACTTTGCTAAATTATTGGCTAGACTACGGTTTAATTAAGGGTATACATAGAAAAGAACAGAGATGTGTTTGAAAAGTACTTACTTGGGAAGGCTGTTTTCGTCACCGCCGTGGACAGGTTTCACCGCTCGAGAACAAAGTTCCACATAAATCCATGATGGAATTCTAAACAGAAACATAGTTCAAATAAGCCTACAAGGGAATGGTCAGAATCAAAGTAGCCAATCCGGACAAGCTGCATAGCATTTAATGCAGCTTAAACCGCTGACTTTGAATTTTATTCCATATCTGCTTGGCGCCTATGTGGACGTAGCCATGAGCCGTTGAAGGCCGTCATTTTGTTAAGAAATCGTGCATTTGAAGTGGAAATTTGGCACTCCAGAGCCATGTTCGGCTTAATGCTGGGTCCAAACATGCAGCTGATTTACTTTTACTTGAAGCCTAAAAGAGAGCTGAAAGTGCAACAATGTGCTCAATTTCGCATTTTTTGTGCAATTTTCTCGCAATTTTCGCAATGAAACTGCTTATAACTTCGTCCACAAATGCGCTAACCAGATATAAAATTCAGATTCGAAATCAGCATTGAATGCTGCATCAAATGGCAGGCAGCTTGCCTGGATTGGCCACTTCAACTTTTGACCGTTCCCTTGTTAGATGTTATTTGCATCCTGTGCCATAATCTTCAGCAAGAAATAAATTCACACAAATGACCATAAAGATAACGATAAAGCTGATTCTGTTAAAGTACATTGAGAAGCTGCTTTGGTATAAATTTATTTAACCATCAATTCTCACGCATCCTACTAGCCTGCAAATGATGCCTTCGAAAAACACATCAATAATCACCTTTCTTTTTCAAAATTCAAGTTAGTCGCTTTTACTCCACCAGAGCGCTCAAACAGTTCTTGTAGAGGGAGCGGTTCCCCTTCGGCTTTGCGGAGCTCATCAATGACGTTTTTTCTTAACTGTTCGCTCATTCCCTGTAAAAGGTTTTATTTTTACGAATTTGCATGATATGTCAGTTCAGATTGCTGAAAACGAAGCTGAGACATAATGAAGATAGGACTGGAGATAGATTATGGTCTTGAAAAGGCATGCGAGCAATAGCTTTGTGAAAACGTTCACTACTAAATTCTCCAAAACGAGAGAAAAGATAAAAACCGATTATTTCGGACCCGAACTGTGAAAAAAAAACTTGACAACATACTGCGTTGAATTTCGAGAACATTTTCAGGATAAGAGAGATGATGACTGCAATACACTAACATATTTCCATAACTCTTTTTGTTTTGTTTTTTCAACGCTGTTTGCTGTTTTGTTGTTCGTTAGTTACACTAGAGAGTTATTATGCGATAAAAAATGAATAAATTTTGGGTGCAGAGCATAATTGTACCATGACAGACGGAGATAGGCAGATGATTACCACAAACCCAAATGTCATGACTAATTTGAGATTTATTTCCTTTCATTTTCGCTAAAAGATTGGACTGAATCCGAATAGGCTTCAAGCTTGACAAATATGAAAGAAATCAAACCAACCACTCCTCCACTAGTGGGTAACTCTAACAAATTAAGTCCCAAAACCAAATAGCGTTCTTCATTTCTTTTACTGAACGAATAGAAAAGAAAACGAAACGAAAGATTATAAAATCGAATGTGAAAGAGATACTCTGTGTGGAAAATATCAGTAAAGCGCGTGGCGAAAAACCACAACAGTCCTACGGAGATTTATCTCGTACCATTGATGTCCGGCTCAGGGCAGGTCAAAATCGACAACTTTTGATATTGGACAATATGTCACTTCGCATAAAGCTGTTTTCCAGGTTTGCAGAAAGACTGTGAAAAACTTTGATTTTTTGTAAGTAAATAAATCTGGAGCTCTTGAGCAAAAACATCGGCTTATTCGGAAACAGCGTGACTGAATTTTTTTGATTACAAAAGATGGTGTTGTACACTGGTGCAAGAATTCTAACATATATCTCTCAATATATTCTTTTTTCACTGATATAATTCAACTGGAAACCTGACAAACAACAATAATCTAATGATCTGAAGGTGTTTACTACCTCCATCTATCTTTCCGCCAACACTAATGCCATTTTTCCCATTAACCGAATAACCGTGCCGGCTTCTATCGCCTACTTGGTCGTGTGCCCCCACCCACACACTGAAACTGCAAAGTCTTGAGTAACAGCCACAAAGTCGATAGTTTTGCAAGCATCCCTGTCTTCTGCCAATTTGCAAACTATTCGACAACCATCCTCCTTAAGGACTGGACTGCCTTCATGCTAACCGTCAAAACCGAATGGATTTTCAAAGCGAGATGGGAACCCACAAAATGAATTTTGGTTTATTAGCACTTTCGAGCAATCTTGGAGCAATGATATCCCCCTGCACACGTATTTTGAATTCCTAATCTTCCACAACAATCTAGAGCAATTATACAGCTGTCCAAAATGTTTATGTTTTATCACTTGGGGCTGCCAGCTTCAAGGCCTCATAATATGATATCAGTCTATGCGCAAAACTCAACGGAAGGTCTGAACTCAGGAGGAAAGGTTCGAGAAGGCTTGTAACCACGTGGCAGTCCCAAAAGCTTTCTCAGTCTAGTATCTTCTAACGCTAGGCTTGGACATTGTTGTAGTCTCAAAAGACGTCAGAGGTTTCCGTTATCGGCGGACTTATCATAAGTTTGCTAGATAGCAGGCTTAGTGCTATAAAACTCGTGTTCTTAATCTTCCCGTCTCCACTTCTCCATTGAAATGCGGTAAGTTGCTCATAACATATAGTATCCCAAGATATTCAAACTTTCAAGCACTAAAACCTTCTTGTATGAAATCTTTAACTTTTCGAACAAAATATTGTAAAGCTGGCTTCAACTTGAATTTTAATAAAGCCACCAATCTCCATTACTGTAGGATTACGTATTTTCAGCTTCAGCGTCATTGTGGATTGGTGTTTCAAAGATATTTTCCGAAAATCTGAAAAATGTGTACCGCGGTTTTCACGCGCGTTGCTTTCTTTCGTAACACAACTTTTCACGATTTTGTAAGGCTTTATAGATGGTTTAGTCGAAATATGTTGTAAGGCTTTATAGATGGTTTAGTCGAAATATAAGGGAAGCATTGCAAGAACGAAGCATTACAGTAAAGTGCAAACTCTAGATTTAGTGACAGAGGCTATTATTAGCTTAATGCAAGAGTTTATAGGTTGTTTGGTTTGCTTTCTGGGGCGAAATGGGGTCCTCAATGGCTATAAACCTTTTTTGGAATTTCTACCTTAATCTTACAGTAATGAAGAGCGACTGGTGGGTTCGCTTCATATCATAAAGTTGAAGTTGAAGTTGAAGCCAGTCAAAAAAAGGCGAAGATTTCTAAAGTGAAGGCCAAAAACTTGCAGCCACTCCGACATTTCGCTCTTATCTCACTCTGTTCCGCACATTACGAACTCAAATTTCAATATGTGCAAATCACACTGCTTAACACTATGTCAAGAAGTTTTGCAGTTTCGTGCAGACAAAAGGGAACTCTGGGGAAAATGGCAAGTACGACGGCATCGAAGTTGGTCAGAACTTGCAGCCATTTTCTGCTAAACTTCTTTGGAGAACATATCACCTTCCAGCATTTGGGCTACAGATGCACCCCCAAGCCTTGAGATATGCAGTGCAACCAGCATCCATAAAACTCCCAAAAAGGAAACTTTATGGAGCAAATTTTCTTGAACGCCAAATGACCACAAAAATTGAATCATAAAGTTGTCGGAAAATAATTGGCTTCCGTGCTCCTATGGAAAGGCGGTACCATCTGGACGTTTAGTGGAGGTTTGTGAATGTCAAACAAAAAGAACAACATAAAATGCTCCAAAATCTCCCATCCCCTCAACTCAGATTTGGCGCACCTTTCAGCTCAAAATTGGGCTCAGCGGTCCAGAGAGTTCTCCAGCTTCATGAAAACACTGATCTCACAAAAACGAGCACTGACCCAGAGCCCACAGAGTTTTATTGGAAACATAGAAGCGCTACTGCCAGAGAAAAGTTTTGCGTTTATCATGTCTATCAAATGTTTGATTTGCCTAAGGAAATTATCCGTCGTAAAGATTGCGCACACTTTTCCGTAGCTGTAATGTCATTTTGTTTTAAATGAAGCTCTGCCAGCTTCGGACCAGTGCTCGTCTTTGTAAAAGCAGTGTTTTCATGAAGTTTGGGAGCTCTCCAGAGCGCTGAGCCCAATTTTTAAGCTGAAAAGTGCGCCGAATCTGAGTTAAGAGGATGGGATTTTGAAGCATGCCAATTCTTCTTTTTGTTTCGCATTCGCAAACCGCCACTAAACGTTCGGATGGTACTGCCTTTCCATAGGAGTACGGATTAGCTGATTACCTCTAAACAACCTTACGATTTCTCCAATTTGTTTTCATTTGGCGTTCAAGAAAATTTGCCCCATATAGTTTCCTTTTTTGGACTTTGATGGATGCTGGTGGCACTGCATATCTCAAAGCTTAGGGGAGCATCTGTAGCCCAGGTGCTGGAGGTGACAAGTTCTCCGAAGGCGTTTAGCAGAAAGTGGCTGCAAGTTTTGAACAACGCCGTTTTCGCCATTGTCCCCAGAGCCCCTTTCTGTGTGCATGAAACTGCAAGATGTTTTGACACAGTGTAAGCAGTGTGATTTGCTTGTAATAGCAGGATTTGGATCCGTTTCATGCGAAACAGAGTAAGATATAGCAAAATTTTAGAGTGGCTGCAAACTTTTGGCCAGCACTGTATACAAGCAAATTAACAAAGATCAACGCCCGAAGCATTATTTTACGCCTTGCACATAAAATGAAAGTGATTCACTCACACATGGTTCTATATAGCTTTCATATTACACCAATATGCATATAGTTTTATCATTCCTCTGTACTACAAGAGAACACAACATTCATAAATGAAATCTCGATTTATGAACGGCATTTCTCCAAATCGCTCAGTTCTATAACAGAGTCTACGACTCCGTGATGGAGACTAGAGCACTAAAATGAGATCTCTACTATAGCCATCATAATGCTTCATTACAGTGCTCTGATATTACTGACGGTCACCTTCGGTATCAGCTTCGCTGCTACTGGATTCGATGCAAGCGCAGTAAGTTTCAATTTATTTTGCTGAGAGGTAATAACGTTCTCGACACATGACGATCCTCTCTACCAAATTAAGCTAATATCAAGCTACATTGGAGAGTGAAAACGATACATAATCGCTTAACTGGTATAATCAATTTGCATCAAGTGCTTGCAATCATTTTCTTGATGGTTTTCTCATCATTTTTGAAGTATTAGCCATAACTCACTTGATAAAGGTAAGCTTGGAAAGCATATCTCTTAAGCCAGTGACCTAGGGCACTTCAACAACTTTCAGAGGATGTAGAGAGTTGTGATTCAAGGCATCAAATGCTTAATCTTAATGCATGGAAAACAGGTGCACTGACGTAGTAAAGATCGCACTGACAGGGAAAGTCACCTAACTTAGGTCGGCCTTTTGGAATGAGACACATATATTTAGAAACAGCTCGGAAGGCTGATTCCAAATATGCTGTCTTTAGCTGCGAAACGTTTCTCTGAAGCAAGTAATGAGCTTTTTCCTGGTCAAAGCTTGCATGTTGACCGCCTTACGGAAACGATATCAATATCTAGGTAGTGGTTTAAGTGCTTAATACACCCTAACAAGGTCAAATGACTCATTTTGATGTTATTTCTATTTTCCACCATTTTTTTTTCAGATTCCTCTACAAGCCTTTTTTCCATATTCAGTTGTATGTCAATGACACATGCCAAAAAGCCATAACTCGCTTCAGAGAAACGCTTCGCAGTTAAGGACAGCATACAATACCGCTCACATCTTTAAAAAGACGCGAATGTCGCATCATGTATGAACATCATCGTCGCGTGGCCGTATCTCGCTTCAGAGTGGACGAATTCTGCATCTAAAGCCACCATTCGACTCAGCTCGGCGCGGCGCATCTTCTGGTTTATAGAAGTGTCTACTTGGACACAGTAAGAGGTCAGATTCCATGAATCATTCCAGATTGCTTGGTATGTAGGTTTAGTGCAATGAGTAAGCACACTGGGTAACCTACTGTAAGCAAGAATTCGAAACGAATCGTAAAATCTGGCCTTCTACTGTGTCCAAGCAGGCACCTCTTTATTAGAAGAGGCGCCGCGCCGAGCTGAGTCGAATGGTGGCTTTAGATGCAGAATTCGTCCACTCTGAAGCGAGATATGGCCACCACGCGACGGTGATGTTCATACATGATGCGACATTCGCGTCTTTTTTTCAAAAAATGTGAGCGGTATTGTATTTGGAATCAGCGTTCCGATCTGATTCTGAATTATGTGTTACATTTCAAAAGGTTGACATAACTTAAGTGACTTCCCTTGTAACCTTTGATTCAACTGGCTTGGCACCATTAGGGCGGGGTTTTGTGCCGTAATTGAGGCCGGTCGCGCCCGCGACGCACCTGCGTCTCTCTCGCGCGGGTGCTCTCTGATCATTACCTAGCCTTAATTAGATCACGAAGCCCCGCCTTTGCCGATGCCAAGCCAGTTGAATCAAATGGTAAGTTTTAACTTAGCTGCAGTGTTTTGAAACCAACAAAGTGCAAGTGGTTTACAGTCACTCACCACGGAACAATTCAAATGCATGAAATCACATGGATATTCTTTCTTCATCGGTCGAGTCCACCAGTCAACCGGTGCAGTTGACAGTCACGGAATACAGAATCTCAAAAATGCCAAGGCTGGTGAGTTGCTTGCAAGTCGCAATTTGATCTTACTTTGATCTTTATGTTGGATAGCAGAATTTACAAAAACGGTCGTGAATAAGAAGCGAAATTACACTCTTCAATGAGCTTGTAAGAAACTAATAGGTTCGGCATAAGAGAATTCACAGATGGTTCATTGAAGAGAATTTTATACGTGTACTTACCCAGCCCTATGACGGTTGACATGGTCCCTCCCTGTGTTGCAACTAAATCTTGGTGAAAAGAATTGTCCTACTGTGGACAATTCAGATCTGAGACCTAAAATTTTTTGAGCGCAAATCTTGTTGGCGCAATAATACTGGTTCATACTTTAAATGCTCTCGACGGGGCTCAAAAACTGTCCATTTGCCAAAATAATTCCTTGCAGCTGGTATCACCAACGTTGACGGATATATCTTCCCGTGTACAACCTCCTCTTGTGCATCACCGGCTTCACAGGTACAACTGAAATCCCGGGACTGCTTTTTATCGGAACAAATCTGATGTGGTTTAAGGTACAAAGTACCGTCAATGCGCTGAAAAGTGCTGGAGCTAGTGTTGGTATGTTGTGGCTCGACATCGAGATTTATCACTGGCCAGCCGATCACACCAAGAACCGTGAATTTATTGAAGCCATGGGTAAAGAATTAACGGTACGTTTCCTATTCAAGATGAGTCAGGCATCTATGAGCTGTTATAGGCCTCTGGACACAACTGGGGTGTGTACAGTAGCTATAATAACTGGCAATCTATTGTTGGCCTGGACTATACTGGATTGTCCCATAAGCAACTCTGGTGGGCTACTTACAACAATGAAGCGGTGAGCAACATTAGTGTTAATTTATTCGAATATCCAAAGACTCAGGACAGGGCCCGGCACCGATGGTTTGGGGTCAAACTGGACTTCGTTTTTGGAGTTAGAAGCAACGGAGACATCGTTTTTATGAGGTCCTGAAGGAAGCGTCAAAAAAACACGACGAACATGTCAGGTTTTACGAGTTGAAAGTATTCTTTCGCAAGCGCGCAAATTCTAAATGCAAGACTCAAACAAACAAATGGCTTGTTTACAACGCAGAAACAATCACATGGCTCCAAATTTGGGGTATGTGTATACAATATTACTCCAAACTATGTTATGTAAAAAGTTCCCAAAACTTATGTGTCCTAATATCCGTTCTCGAATTTGTTGGTTTCTAGACCAACTACCAAACCAACTGGGTTGGTTCGAAGCATAAATATCGGAGAGTTCACATAAGTTTTGGACCTTTTTGATTTGGACGATTAGAACGGTCAAAAATCTATCATATAGTAAAGAGAGCGGATCAAACCGTTGTCTCTCCCCTTTTTTGAGTCAAAAGTAGTATAATTCTAGGCGTTGATAGATATCGCGCTCTAATCACTTGCGGTGTCCTTTGAAATATGTGGCGAAAAATGCATCGCAGGATTGTTGGGGCTACAGATTTGGTTGGCCTAGGAGATTTTCGACATTCCCAGCATCAAAATGGTACTATACCCAATGGCAGAGCCTTTAGTCGACTCGAAATGTTTTCTTTTTGCTTTTTTGTTATATTACATGCCTCAAAATGCGCTTTTTTCGCTTTTTTGTTGCTATTTTGGTTGAATAAGGGTTTCCCTACTGATTTTCACATCAAGAGGGACTTCGTAGATTTTCGCGAAGTCATGGGGTTCGTTTCCTAAGAACCTCCAAACCAACGCGTGCTGGGCCCTGACTCAGGAGCTTTCTTCTAATCGAGATTGAGGTCTTCCAGCTTATTAATTCCACTTCGGAGAGCAGCTTTAGATGTTTATAGTACAAACAGAAAACAACAAACTGCAATCACTTTTCGATTTAGAACTTCAACAACTTCAAAGCATTCGGAGGATGGACAAAACCAAACATTCATCAATATCAGGGTGATGCCAAAGGACCATGTGGATTCTCCATCGACAATAATTACTACCCCTGAAAGTGCGATAGACGATGGAAATAGTCTGTGAATAAATAGTTGTCATCAAAGCTTCGGTTCACCACGGAGTAAAAATAAAATGAAAAGCCACGCTAAAGAAAGAATTTTTCAGGGCAAAATTGAATTTTAAAAATTTTCAAAAATTGTTTTGATTATTTACAAGTATAAACAAGTCACTTTACACGTGAGTTAGCTATTTTTTGCATTTGCTACAAACCACTACTCCTTTCGACATGAGAAGTCCCACAAATGACCGCCAAACTACGGAATTAGAAGCCAATCAAAATCTTATTTCTCTCATTTTCGCTTTCAATGGTTGGCCTTCCAGCAACTGTTATTCAGTTTCGAAAAAACGAATTAGGCTCAAATAGGCTATCGACCATCTATATGATATTTGCCGAAAGTTCCTTGGGCGGTAAGGATGGAGTGTGGCAAAACTCCAATAAGTGTAGCTAACACACCTTTTTGGGGTTCTGCACCCCGTTAACTTACCTTGAAAGCATCCTTATTTTGTACACCTTTGAAACGCTGATCTTCTATTCTCAGTATAAATTTCATCCAAAGTCGAAACCACTAGAAGAAGTTAAAGTCGCTTTTTCGCTCCTATGTTCATGACAAATATTGTGTTATGGCAGTATGCTGAATCTGCGCTACTACGTTATCGCAAGGGAAAATGGCGAGATATTAGTTCGTCCCGAAAGTTCTGACAAACGAGTGTAACCCGCACAATAAAAAACTCAATGCGTTTTACATGCATTAGACGCAGTTTTTCCTTCTTTTCTGACGGTTATAATCCTAATCATTCGTGAAAGCTTTTAAACTGCCAAAATTCTTTAACCTTCATCTCTATCAGCTCAAAGTTCGGCTAAATTTCAAAAATTTTATTATATTAGGTCGCTCCGAAAGTAATGTCGCTTTTTTCAAAAGTATGCCACACCTTGTGGAACAAAGATGTGTAAGAGATTCTGGTAGCATTTGATGCAGCACTTCATTCTCTTTCTAATGGCTATGAATTTGTTGCAATTAAGTCAATGAGCTTCCAGAAAAGAGTCAAAATCTGCGACCTATTCTTTTTGAGATGGCCAAGTGTCACAATTTTTCTAAAATTTTATAACAAACCTCAGAATGAGTCCAAGTAGTGGATGGATGGAGCAAACCCTACAGGAAACAGCACAACTTTTTTCTACTTTCCAGAGCTCGTCATAATTTTTGTACAGATTTTTTGATGGAACCACCGAATTTTAGCAGGCTCGTCTCAGACATAAGTGCATCAAACGCCAACAATGGATTATGGTTTGGCAACAATTTTACAAACCAAACGAGCATTCACCGTTTCGGTTTAGCAACTTTCGAAAATTTCAGTTACACCTTGGGGTCCCTTGGAAAAGTTGAATTATGAGATTTTATCCCGGGAAACATGACGAATCGGAAACAAAAAACAACTGCTAGAAAGAGGAGAAAAAGCTGCATCGAATGACACTCGAGTCGCTTACCGGTTGTTGTTCTGTGAGGTTTAACTTGACTAGATATGGAATTTGATGGCATTGAGAAAATGATTGTAGAAACTCTGAGAAGCAAGCTAAGGAAAACAAAAAATTACTCTGTATTCTATAGTGTTTGCTCTATCTATCTGCCACTTGTACTTTTTCGGAGATTAGGTACAAAAGTTTAGATAGCCGAACTTGACCATGGCAAAAAGCATGAGTCGCAGATTTTGGTAATTTTTCGAGAGCTCATTAAAGATTATGCAGTGGAATTGAAACCTTTAGAAAGAGTATGAAATGCTGCATCGAATGCTCCTAAGATCTCTTGAAAATGTTGATTCCGCGAATAGTGGCGTTCATTCGAAAAAAGCGACATTACTTTCGGAACGACCTAACAGAATCTAGAAGAAAAGCAGGTAAGTATCGAATAGAGCAAGTTCTGCACTATGCGGCATTGCTTTCAGACTCTTCTGATCTGCTACTAGGAACTTTCAAAAAAATTGTTTCTTTGGAAGTCACGCTTTTTAGTAAAGTCATGAAAAACGCAACTACAACAAAATTAGGAAAGCTTACAAGTTTCTGCGAGTTGAAGCTTAAATGTTATAGGCCGTCCGCGCAGGGTGCGGAGAGTGCGCAAGGTGTGTATTGCGCGTCACTCCTCTTTCCCCGTGCACTCTCGCCGCCTGTTTTTCTCTGCGCTCAACTATCTTCACTGGACGCAACAGCGTTGCTCTCCGCGCGCAGCGCGGACGGCCTATATTAATCATCATTTTTGCAAAACAACCAAGCTTTGTTTGCTTTGAAATCACCTTTTTGGAACTTTCAGTACTCCTATGCGCCAAACGCGCGCAAAAAGCCCAGGTTTTTTCCTGCTCGATAATACACTTCACAAACCTGATCTATGTAATATCAGAAAAAAGTATGATGTAGCCAAAGGTCTACTCTACTCAATGATTATTATAGCTTTCGAAAAATATCACGATAAACCCTTTCAAAAATTAGGAAGGTTTGGCGTCACTGTTGAGCTGCTTAAAGAGCTATGGCGATGACATCGCAAATACTGCATAGATCATGGATAAAATAAAGCTGTCTGAAAGAGCATAAAAATCTGAATCGAACGATATGTGAGTCGTTCATCTACCAGTGCTATGAGTTCTTATTATGGATCAAAGAAATCGAAATATATAGATTCAATAGCTCAAATTTTTCAGTTTCCCTGAATCATTTTGAATCTAATTCGTGTTCATTATGAGTAATTGTTGCTTTGGGCACAACCATCTAAAACCAAAAAGAGGCAAACGAAATTTTTTCTGGCCTCTATTTCCACAGTTTGGAGGTCATATGGAGTGAGATTTCTCATGTGGGCAAAGGAATGGTGCTTTGTCTTGAATGCCGGAGGAGGTAGCAGTCACCCCCAAAATGAACTCAGATAATCGCCGGGGACAGGCGGTTATGCGACTTATGGGCGGGCGGGCACCGGAAAAATAGTTTGCTGATTTCTTGCGGTCTGCTTGCAGAAATCTGGAATAATTTTGGCCATTTTTTAGAAGAACGATCGGAAAACTATCGCGGTCTTGCTATGGATAAGCTGCGGCGCAGTGGCCGCATTCTCGCGGACTTTCCGCGAGAATATGCAGAATTTTCGGGGGCCGCACGGTCCTCTGTGAAGGACCGCGCAGCCCCCAGGTACTTTCCGCTGAGAGAAAGTACCTCAAACTTGAGTAATTAAACCAACGGTGACACCTCGCCACACAGAGTCTTACCTGTGCTCGGCGTATGCCTGAAACTGCTTGAAAAGAGCCCGAGCGCTTGCTGAATGTTTGGCCAGCGCTCGCTGAAAAAAGTTATTTGCCGAGCGCTTGCAGAAAATGCTGTATTGCTGCCCGCTGGCAGAATATGCGACGGTAAAGGAAGTGCCGCCAGCTGAAGGTTTGGCCACGCCCCAAAATTCTGCTGACCGCTTGCAGAAAAGCGCAAGTTTGCGGACCGCCTGCCCCCGGCGATTATCTGAGAAGTTGATTGTGTTCGGGGATGACCATTTCACTTGGGTGGCCCAATATCTGAAAACTTCAGAAATTGTTAGAACTTGGTCCACACAGGTATTTGACACGCTTGTTATGGGAATGATATCATTATGTCGGTAGTGTTTCTTTAAAATACTTACTGTATGTACACGATTATCGATCAATGCCTCGGTGAGCTTATACTTTGCACGGTGGGCTTTCTGACTTTGTCAGCACATATCGAATTATCACTAACATCAGTAACACGCCGATGACGACCCCCCTCCGACCCCTCAACACCACCCCCAGCTGCGGCGTGCCACACCCCACGCTTGAACCTGTGTATCAAAAATGGATACACGGCTTGTAGTTGCCGTGAAAGTATCAACATCTGACTAAGATCAGCCGATTTCGTCCGGACGCTACTTTCAAGGTGAGAAGACGCCACTCATAAACGTTGCTTTTGCGGACCTCACGATTCTGACTGTGATTTGCAAAAGTTATGCGCGAAAATGCGTAGCTTGTTTCAGACAATCGATAAAAAGCAACGTTAGCAGATGGCGAAAGCACATTGCAATCAGCGTCTCAAGACGCACTTGGTGATATGTGTCTTTATGAATGGTCACGGTCAGCAAGTATCCTTTCCTTATCAGACAAGGAAACTTTCGGAAATATGCGATTTCCCGTGTTATGCAAAGTAGGGAGGGCCTACCTTCTGCAAACCTGAGACCCGAAATCCTGCGAAGCACTGCTTTGAGAGTAGGATAGAGGGCATTTGAAAAATCGTGACGATGGCGCGACCGCGCGCGACACTCACGCCACTTCCGAAAATCGCATTTTCTTGGTTTTCATCTCTAGTCGAAAGGTTTTTGATATGATAATATTTAGACAATAGAAACGAGCCGAATTTTGGGGTAATGCCTTCTTGTATAAGCGTTTTATGCTTATGTGGGTCCAAAGTCCGCAGTAAAATCCGTCGTCACGATTTTATAAATGAACTATACACTAAGGTACGTTTTTCAGACCAGAGAAACTCATAAGTAAATATTGGATTCTTCAACACTATCGCTTAGCCGTCCAGCCTACCCTTCACAGATTCTTCTTTCATTTGTCGTTCGAAAAACAAAGTCTTCGAGCAGCTGTTGTTTTTTTTGTGCATACTGTCCACGTCTCTGATGCACAAAGCCCGAAAGGCGCTTTATAAGGCGGATAGTAACTGTTTTGGATGCTGAAGCGAGTGATAACATGAATACGACATGACATCTATCTTGATTCACACATGATTCACATGAATTTGACACCACAACAGAAAATTTTCATCCAAACTCTGCAATTCTGAAGGTGACTTCTTTGTCGTAGGTAGAGTATTTTGGTAAATGGTGACAAAAAAGAAGCATTAAAAGCGTTATGCGTCCGACTCTAAAAAAGAATGAAAGAAACGATTTATAAGAAGTTACCGAAATACGAGACATTTAAGTGCAGACGTCATTAAGGCTTTTAAAGAGAGATGCGATGTCGCCTCCTCATTTCCATGCCTTTGCAATTTTCATGTCGCATATGCAT